GCCTCTCCTGTGGCAGCTTGAACTTTCTAAAATTGGGATTGTGGAAGACCTGCCACTGCTTTTCACTCCGATTTGGTTTCAGGCATCTGTCTTAAAAGCTTTGGGTTAGTTGGAGAAGTAAAGGGAAAGAAGGTCCTCTCGGTTCAGTCGTGGAAGCTGTGCCTGGTGTCAGGGAGACTCTATTTCAGGGAAAATGTTCTCTGAAGGAGGACGAATAAACTTATTTTGTTTTCTGGTTTTTCCCTCTTCTCATCTTAACCCTCTGTACTCCCGGATCAGGTGGGTCCTGCTGGTTGTTTCCAGACTCTGATATCTAGGTTAGAAAATGTCATAGACTCCCGTAGGCCCATGGCTTCCAAATGTCTTTTGTTTTTTGTTTTTTTTGGTGCACTGCTTGCGGGATCTTAGTTCCCCGACCGGGGACTGAACCCGGGCCCTCGGCAGTGAAAGCACAGTCCTAACCACTGGACCACCAGGGAATTCCCCACAGTATTTTGTGTTTTTTGTTTGTTTGTTTTGTTTCAAATGTTTTGATTATGTGCCCTGTTGGTAAAAAGTTGCGTATATTTATATATACATGCACATATATCAGTTTTATACAGGTGCTACCATCACTAGCCAATCTCTGGAGGCACAGCCTTCACTTAGGGCAAGTGTCACTGTATCGCAAATTATCCTCTGGACAATTTAAAATATTTTTTGCCAACCTCTTGCTAAGTTGTATTATAAGGTAAAAGGAAAAAACCACAATGATTAATGGTTAATGTGACATACTAGAGATAGGAACAGAATCAGCTCTGCCGTTCTTCTTAAAGATCCCCTGCGCTCACATATTAGCATTTAGATTCTGGTTTTTCTGAGTAACGTTCAGGCCCTTGTGCATTTGCCCAGGGTTAATTTCAGTTAATATTAATATATAGATAATATAATAAGTACGTCCTGTTAACCAGGACTGGAAATCCACGGTAGCACTCAGTGACACTCCAGCAGCGAAGGAAGGGGTGGCGGCCACTGCCGCCCTCTGCACTGGGCTCATCTACGGACTATTGTCTCAAAGCTGGTCTGACGTGTGTCTGGCCCACATGGATGTAGAGGGTCGCAGGGTCAGCTTGTAGAGTGGATATCAGTAAAGCTTAATTTCTTGTTTTTGATAAAAATAGTATTTTCCCCACATTCCAGTGGATTCTCCTGCTTGTTTTGGAGACCACGGCTCTAGACAGTGAGTGGAGGCTCAAGCCTCCCTGCTCTCTAAAAGTCCTGCTCTGACCACAGGACTAGATCCTTTCATTCTTTCCTTCTTAAGGCTAAAGGTTCTGTCTTTTAGGGAACAACTAAGGTTTAGTTGGACAGAGATTCCTTTGGTGCAGTTTTTTTTTCAGAGGGGTGGAGATGTTGTTTGTACCTTCCAGGTCTTGAGGGGAGGGCATTGGAATCAGGCAGTGAGGTGCTGGGGAGCTCCAGGTAGCCCTGTTCAGCTCCCTCCTCATGGGCAAGCCAGCTAGACATTCAGCACATACAGTTACACTGTGGGGCGAGAGAAGGGGGCACTGACATACAGCAGGTGTCTCCCTGAGCGAACACCAGCACCACTGAGCCTTCCTTTAAAGCCAATGGATTCCATCAACCCACTGTGACATGTATTAGTTATCTATCACTGCATACAAACTACCCCCAAATGTAGCAGTTTAATACGACTACACTTGTTACCTCATAGTCTCTGCAGGTCAGAAATGTGGGTGCAGCTCAGCCGGTCCTCTGCTTAGTCTTGCACGCCTGCAGGCATCTTGGGGCTCCACTGGGGTGTTTGATGCCAAGCTCACTCATGTAGCTTCTTGTGGGCTGTTGGACCGAGGGCCTCAGTTCCTCAGGAGCCATTACAGCAGCAACAGAAAACGAACACAGGCTGGATTGAAGAGGAGAAAAATGGTTAATGGTTGTGCTTTAATACAGATGATTTGCTGATTTTTAAAATAAGTATCTTAAAAATGCTAAACTTGATTTATACGTTCATCTTCATAAGGAGAAAAAGCTACTTCTTGGGTATAAGTAGATAAAGTGTCCAGCAGGGCATCTCCCCGAAGGAAGATCACAGCTCAATCCCACTAAAGTAGAAAGAACAAGATTCATTTCTGTGTTACTAAAATCACTGGAAAGACAAGTTCCTTTCTTCTTTACAAGGCTTATAGGGAAAGGGAGATCAAGCAAGCCTTTAAAAGTAGAAAATTAGGGAGTCCCCTGGTGGTCAGTGGTTAGGACTCGGCGCTTTCACTGCTGTGGCCCGGGTTCAATCCCTGGTCAGGGAACTGAGAACCCACAAGCCTTGCAGCGAGGCCAAAAAAGCCCCCCCAAAACCAAAAACCAAAAAAAATAAAAATAAAAAAAGTAGAAAATTAAATAAACATGAAGTTGTGTAAACAAGTTTTTTTTTTTTCCTTCCTTCCTCATCCCCCTGCTGTGTTCTCTATTTCTAGCTATGGGATAGATTTTTGATTTGGGGTTAGATGCTATAATGTTAGGCCATTTAGAGTCTGTCCTCACAGTTTGTTATCTCACAGTTTGAATCTGATTTGCATGTCGAAGCTGAGAGCTCAGTGTCTGGGCTTGGCATCCTTTCCCTCACCTTCTAAAATGCATCCATTCAAATAGTGTGCTTATCTGAGAACCAAAAAGAGGGTCGTCATGCAAGCTGCAAAAGGCAGTCAGGGATATTTGCCCTTGGAGTTTTTAGAGCATGTCTTCAAAACAAATATGCGTCGCTGTTACATAGTCAAAATAGTTTACTGATTGGGACCCTAAACTTTTTATAGCAAAAAATCAGAATTTGTGATGCAAAACATTAGAGCTAAGGACCCCACAAATGGTCTATAGAACAATATTGCTTTAAATACAAGCCAGCATTAAAGTTAAAACTTTTTATTTTGTAATTCAGCAGGAAGGGGAAGGTAAATGAATTTTAGTTTACCTGAAAAGCTTTTGCTACCAGGAAAGGAAAGTATTAACAAAGCAATAAAAAATTGCTGAGCACACGCTGTGGGCCAGGTACTCTGTTAAATGGCTGATGAAAGGCACTGAGGCTTGGAGAAGTGACTTGTCCAAATTCATAGAGCTAATTGTTGGCAGAGCTGAGGTTTGAACTCCAGATCTTCAGACTCAAGTTCTATGCTTTTTTGTTTGTGTGTTTACGCTGTGGTTTTTTTTTTTTTTTTTGTGGCCTAGGAATCACAGCATTGTTCTTTCCTGGGAGCAAGGCAGGCAGCTGTATAATATGGGCAGAGAGCTCCCTTAGGAAGGATGGAAAGCCCTGTCCTCCCAATTCGTGAACTTCCTATATTAGTGATTTGTATATGTCACTAGGAAGGGTAAGCGGTGAATGGTAGCCCAGAGAAGGCCACACTATTGCTTGTCAGCTGGGAAGTCAACTTGCACCCAGAAAATAGTAAATTCTTTCCTATAATTTATATACTTAGAAGTTAGGAGGGCAGGAAAAGGCAGGGTGTGGGGGGATGAGTCCTATAGGGCTAGAGGTCAATCAATAAGTTCTTCAGAAGGGCATCATAGTAATCATAGCTTTATGTAAGCCTCTCTCCAGGGAGAGGGGTTTCCAGTTACAGGGCACATGGAGGCCCATATCTTGCCACAGAAGTAGTGTCAGTTATATTCAATGCACTCAAATCCCTAAATTCAGGTCTACATTTCTCTCAAAAAGTTTCCTATTCTTCATGCTTATGACTCAGTGTGAAGTCTTCAGTGCCGAGCAGGTGATCCATTTCAAATCGAAATCTCCAAGGTGTGAGGCTGGCAGGTTAAGTTTATAATTTAATCAAATCTGGAAGTTCTTGGGAAAACTATAACCTGTAAGTGGGGACCTTAAGAATTTGGGGGGACTTCCCTGGTGGCACAGTGGTTGGGAGTCCACCTGCCAATGCAGGGGACACGGGTTCGTGCCCCGGTCCGGGAAGATCCCACATGCCGCAGAGCAACTAAGCCCGTGCGCCACAACTACTGAGGCTGCACTCTAGAGCCCGCGAGCCACAACTACTGAAGCCCGCGCGCCTAGAGCCCGTGCTCCGCAACAAGAGAACCTGTGTACCGCAACTAAGAGTAGCCCCCGCTCGCCGCAGCTAGAGAAAGCCCGCGCGCAGCAATGAAGATCCAACGCAGCCAAAAATAAATAAATTAAATAAATTAAAAAAAAAGAATTTGGGGACTGGGGGAGGGGTGTCTAGAGAAGTTTGGAGTTCGTCCAGGACTTAATAGAAGGCAATATTAAGAGACAAAAGCCAAGACTCCAGAGCTGGCTCAGGATCAAGGAGGCATAAATTGGAGGCCTGCTAAAAGGCAGATTCCTTGGCCCTAATCCAGACGTAATATCTGGGGTCGGGCTCCTCAGGGGATTCTGATACCACCAGTCCAGGTGCTGACATGTGGGAACGACTGGCTGCGGGTTGGTAATCAAGTTCAAGTTTGCAGAACAATACAACCAGGAAGGCTTTAAAGAAACCGTTGAGCCTTTGCAGGAAAGAAGAGTACAGTGGACTAGCTTTGGGAAGGACATACTGTTTCAGAAAGGATGTGGCCTCCTAACACGGTCTGGAAGGGTAGTTAATTCAGGAGAGCAGGCAGGGAGGCGGGTCCAGGTCGGGTAACAGCATCTAGATAAGCACCGGTAAGGAGGAGCGAGCTCAGTTTCAGGGTTAAGTTTCTTAGCGCCCGCGTAACGAAGAGGGGCTCCTGAAGCTGAGCGCCGAGGCGCGGCACGCCCATCCGGGGGCTCCACCTAGCCGAGTTCTCCAGGGCCGGCTACACCATTCGCCTTTCTGAGGCGCCTCCTGACCATCAAAGCCACGGCGAGCCAGGTCCCTCCGTGTGGAGGGCGAGCTCAGCTAGCGGCCCCACGGTCCTCACAGCTGGGAAGGGCTTCCGACGCTAATTTGAGGCAGGAACTCCTCCTTCCCCGCCCGCCTCCGTACTTCCCCCTCCGGGAGATGGGCGGGGCGACGCCACTGACATCACTGGGAGAGGCGCCAAAGGAAGTGACGTGAAGCGGCGGTGCGGCCTGGGGATTGCTGACCGAACGTGGGCTGTTATGTCGGCTTTGACGCGTCTAGCGCCTTTAGCGCGCGTTGGAGGCCACTTCTTCAGGGGCCTACGCGCGCGGGCGGCTGGAGGCGCTGGAGTCCGTCAGTGAGTATTGCCTGCGGGGGGGCTTCGCCTGCATCTAACGAAAAGTGCCAGTCTTCTGGACGCCCTCACCTTGACGCCGAGCCCCACGGGCAGATCCGGGTCTGCAGCGACCTCCACCCCGAGGCATGCTGGGACTCGTAGGCTGACGGCGTGACCCAGGGCCCCGGGAGAGAGGGGACGTGGGGCGGGGAGCTGTGCTCGCTCGGCAGGTTGAAGTGTGTTTCGGGCGGGCCCTGCCCCAGCGGGAGCCTGCCCTCGGGAAGTTGACAGTTGAACGTGGAGACGGCTGGAGCTAATCTGGAAGCGAGAGCAGGAGTTGGGGAGGTGAGGGCGTTGCCGGTGTAGTTTGAAGCGTCAAGTTCGAGGCAAGGTGAGACAGGAGACCTTGGGACGTAGGGAAGGAATGGTAGAGAGTCCTTATTCCTGGCTCAGGGGTTTCGAACGCAGGCGATAATCGGTCGTTGAGAGGTTTTAATCAGACGCCATGCGGCCAGATTTTAATTCTGAAAAATTACTGTGGTTGCAGACTAGAGAATTAGTTAAGGCACGGGCGTGGAGGCAATCACCCGTAGAGAGTGCAGAAGGGTGGGAAGAGAAGAGAGCCAAAAGTAAATGCTTGGGCAATATCGGAATTTTTCTTTTTTTAAAGTATTTTTTTGAGCAGTTTTAAGTTCACATAAAAATTGAGTGGAAGGTACCGAGATTTCCCATAAATCCCCAGACCCACACGTGCATAGCTTTCTGCATAATCAACATCCCCAACCTGAGCGGTACATTTGTTACAGTTGATGAGCCTACACTGACATATTATCACCCAAAGTCCCATACTATAGAGTTCACCTTTGCAACACCAGAATTTAAAGAGTCAGCAAAAGCAGAGTCACCCATGATGTAGCCCAAGAAACCGGCTGGAGAGCATAGTGCTGGGATGCCAGGGGAGGGCACGTCTACCAAAAAGGAGTTGGTAGTGCAGAGGGGTTCAGTAAGAGCAGGACTGAAAATAGTACATTGGATTTCTCCAAGTAATGGGCCAGGCCCCTTGCACCGTGATCTACACTTTACCAAGAGGCAGTGCAGAATAGTGGTTAAAAGCAGGATTCAGCCCCCAAAGTGCCTCTGTTCAAATCTCATTTCTGCCACACTTTTGCTGTATGGCTTGGAAAAGTTTCATGATCTCTTAATAACTGAGTTTTCTCACCCATATAATGGGGATAATAATGTTGACTTCCAGGTAAGTAAATGAATAACAAATCTCTAAAATGTTTTAAGAGGGCTGCTGGTGCCTACTAAGGATCATACAAGTATTGTTTAACTGAGACCAGGAAAATTAAAGGAGTGACTTGCCTAAAGCCATGTGTCTATTAAGGATATGGAGCTGGGACAGGTGTGGGGTGGCGAGAAGGAAAAGGCATGTGTGACCTGAGCAAGGACAGAGATGGAGAGCCACCAACAATAGCCCTTGACCTGCATGGGAAGACTAGGGGGTGTTCCTCTTCACCGAGGTCTTGGTACTTCCATAACACACTGTATTTCACAGTATGTGAATACTTAAGTCAGTAGGTTTTCTGGAGAGTCTTTCTAGGTGCTGGGGATAGAGCAGAATATAAGAAAGATAATGGAGCTTACATTCTGGAGAGAGGACACAACAAGTAGAAAAGAACATGTTTAGGTACTCTTAAGTGGCATGAAGGAAATAAAACGGGATTAATCTAGAGAGTGTCTGGGGTTGGTGGGTGGGTTATTATACCTAGGATGATGTGGGAATGCAGGCCTGAAGGTTTGATTTGAACTAAGACCTAAGTGATGAGTAGTCAGCCATGCAAAAATGCCAGGAAGAGCTTCTCAGACGAAGGAGACAGCAAGTGAAAAGGTTCTGAGTGCTGATAATGGGCAAGCAAGCTGGTGAGGGGACAGTGGTAGAGAGACAAGCAGGGCCCCGATTAGGGTGGGCCTTGTAGGACGAGGCCTTATTCTAAGAATGATGGCAGGCTGTTGGAGGCTTTAAGCAGGAAAGTAATATGATCTGGTTTATGTTTTATTTTTTTACACTTCTTTTATTGCATTTTATTTTTCTTTTTTGAATTTATATTTTATACAGCAGGTTCTTATTAGTTATCTATTTTATACATATTAGTGTATATATGTCAATCCCAATCTCCCAATTCATCCTTGGTTTATGTTTTAAAAAGGTAACTTTAATGGAGAGTTATGGTGCTTGCTTTTTTTTTTTTAAACTTGACACTTACAAAGCCTGGGTTGGAACAGCCATTATTTCTTTGGATATTGTTTCTTCCCCATTCTGTTTTCTTCTTATAGGACACGAATTAGGCATATGTTGGATTTTCTCATCCTTCTAACCTCTTTTCATATTTTTTAGCTGTGTCTAATCCTGGCTTTAATCCTTTTTATTTCAAATGATTACATTTTATTTCTAGAAATTCTGTTGTTTCAAACTTGATCTTTATAGTTTCTTGTTCCTTGCTCTTAATTTCAAACTTTTATTTAAAAATAACGTGTTTTCTGTATTATAAATTGTAATTATCCATTTTTCAAGTCTTGTATATTTGATACTGCTGTCTGTTGTTTTGCTGATTCTCACTCATAGTGTCTTATTTCCTTGTAATTTTTGACTGTGAGCTTTTCCTGGAACTTTTATCTGTCAGAATTCTTTAAGGTCTTGCTTCTCAAGGGTTCAGAGAATCCAATACCACTTTAAAATCTTGGGTTGAGGTTCTCTTGGACCATAATGTCCAAAACCCAGGTAGTGTGAATTTGGGTGCAAACCCACCTGAGGACTGGCTACTGGTAACAAATTCCTGTTCCCTTCTTCATGGCAGGTTTATGTCCCATTCACTCTTATATCATGGGGCTGCAGCTTTCTTCAGGGGTCTAGTAATTAGACTTCGCATCGTGGGTGGGCCCCAGGCTTCTCCTGTCTCCCACAGCTGTCCAGGTAGAGGGTCACAGAGTCTGGGGAACAGCAGAAACCCTCAGGGCGAAGGCCAGCTTCAGTGCTCATGTAGTTTCCAGGTCTTGTTTTAACTTGGGTTTTGCCCTTGGTAGATTCCTTTCTTTTGTGTCTGGTCAATGATTTATTAAAAATTAAAAAAAAAAATCTCAACTACTATTGTAGTTGTTTCAATTTGGAGGGTTGTTCAGCTTGTCTGGTTTGCCATAGTGCAGTTAACAACCTGTCTTGGAACATAACATTAGATGTTTGTGGAATCTTTATATTCCTTAATCATGGCAATTGTTATGTCATGCATTCCTTTTCTCTAATTGCAGTGTTTCAAATTTTGTTCAAAAAGATTTCCACCTTGCAGTCAGTGATCCACTTATTTCAAGTCATAGTTAAAACATGTCACTCTAGCAGTAATTAAGTGTGGAGAGTTTCTGGGAATGGGTTTAAACTATAATTCTCAAATCTTATTTTAAATGAGTTTAACTGATGGGTACTTATTACTAGGCTATATCCAAAACCTATCAAAGAGGAAGCCTGTTGTTACAATATATTGAATTCCCACCCCCATGGTTTATTTATATAATGTAGTATCTATATGCAGATAGATCCTGAATAGATACTGTTAAATATAATTGGCGTACAGAAACAGTATGATAAATTCAGGGTGTAAAGCAGTGATGCTTGACGGAAACTTTTTTTTTACTTATTTATTTTTATTTTTGGCTGTGTTGGGTCTTCGTTGCTGCGCTGGGCTTCCTCTAGTTGTGGCGCATGGGGGCTACTCGTCATTGCGGTGCGCAGGCTTCTCATTGCAGTGGCTCCTTTTGTTGCGGAGCACGGGCTCTAGGCTCACGGGCTTCAGTAGTTGTGGCACGTGGGCTCAGTCGTTGTGGCTTGTGGTCTCTAGAGCGCAGGCTCAGTAGTTGTGGTGCATGGGCTTAGTTGCTCTGTGGCATGTGGTATCTTCCCAGACCAGGGTTCGAACCTGGACTTAAAGAGAAGTCCCTCTCTTTAAATTTTCTATATCCATTTGTATGTAATAGCATACATATAGCTGCTGAATAGGACTTGAAAGTAGCCCCATTAAGTACAAATTCTATTATTTGAATTAGATTCAACCTGTGATAATTACAGTCCAACTGAATAACATGAGGATAGCTCATATGGATTATATTCCTCACCTTGTCAACAGTAAATGAAAACACAAAACCCAGAAAGACTTGTTCAAACTTACTGTTTAAGACTCTTTGCTTTGCTCAGTGCTTTTGGCTTATTAAAAAGGGTCTGCTGAGTCCTCTTTTCCATAAAGTGGTCTTTTAATAAAGATTGTAATAGAGCAGAGACATAATTTGCCTTTGAAATAGATGGCTAACCAGACAAAATAAATTTGATTTGTTTTTCTGGATAAGCTAGTGACTTACTACTACAGGTTTATGATTCCTTAATCAAAACCCTTGGGGCCAGTACCCCATAATCAGCACATTCATATTTCTGGTGTAAACTACATGAATATTCACTAAATGAAAATCATAATTAGCCTCTTGTCAATTCAGGCCAGTTTTTGCTGCTGCACAAGTTTAAAGCAACTTCTGAAAAAGGAGTATTTCGAGGGACTGTGGAGCACTGCCATTCTGTATTTTGTGGAGGAGATGAGAAAGGTTCAGTTTCTGGCTGTAACTCATAAGTTTTGGATGAGTTCATACTTTGAAGATATAGCAAGCTGCTTAACATTTTCGTTTTGTCATGTAGTGCTGGTGGAGGTGTGCATATCGAGCCCCAGTACAGGCAGTTTCCCCAGCTGACCAGATCCCAGGTGATCAAGGCAGAGTTCTTCAGTGCAACCATGTGGTTCTGGATTCTCTGGCGCTTTTGGCATGACTCAGATGCCGTGCTGGTAAGTGCAGGAGAAGAATTCTTGTCCTTTGCGTGTGGGGAGAGATGATCTCTTAATAGCTTACCTTGTTTCTTTTTTCTGTTTGTAGACTGTTTTTCAACCTGGATGTATCTCTTCACCACATTGTCCTTATGTATATGCAGGAATCCTTTTATTTTATGAAACATATTGTCTCTGACCTTTTCCACTCAAGGATGTATATTACATGTAGGTGGCCCATGTCTTACGGTTTCTGTTTGGTGGCCATATTTGGAAGGGAGACTATAGAAGCTAATTCTCTTACTTTCCAAGCTAGGGTAGGGGTTCATCCGCAGGTTAAGTTCCACAGTTAAGTGCCTTTAAATGATAAATGTTATTTAGTCTGTCCAGAGGCCCAAGGCAGCCAGGTTGAGGTGGGATGGATGTGGGCTAATTTCCCTCAGGAGGGAAGTTAGTTACTGGTAACTTTCTAACATGTCATTGGCCTCAAAAGGAGCTTTTAATCACATTTGCACAGATGCTATTCTCTAGGAAATTACACCTTGAAGCCGTTGAAATCCATGCTTATTGATCCAGAATACTTTGAATTTTAGTAAATTTGGGGTTTTTTTTAGGATAGGGAAAAATCTTAAATTTATACAGTGAGTTCTAGAAGCATCAGGTTGATTAATATCCCACTTCTCTTACAATTTCTCTGTGCCCTTGTCACCCAGTAAGGAGCTGCATGGTGTCTGTGGCAGCACATAGACACCTTTATCTCACTGTAGGTCCGCTGTCAGGATTATTGTGTGGCTGTCTGGCATGAGATAATGATGCAGCCGAATATGCCCTAGATCAGGATAGACAAGGAATGCTTCCAAATCTCCCAGCAGGAATGACAGGACAGTTTGAGACCTTATGTTTTGTCAGGGATTCAAGAGATTGTTGTGACATGGGGTATCTTTGCAATCTGTTGTCTCCGTACCGCCCACGCTCCATCACAAACACATACTCAAATGCTAGCTCAGGCCAGTAGCTCCAAGATGGCCAGGCTTTTAAAATTCAGGCCACAGCTCATTTTGAACAGATTGAAGAATAGCTGGACCATCAGATAGTTGAAGGAGAATTTGTTCCTGTGGTATTTTGAGGATTTTTTTTTTTTTTTTTTTTTTGTGGTATGTGGGCCTCTCACTGTTGTGGCCTCTCCCGCTGCGGAGCACAGGCTCCGGACGCGCAGGCTCAGCGGCCATGGCTCACGGGCCCAGCTGCTCTGCGGCATGTGGGATCTTCCTGGACCGGGGCATGAACCCCTGTCCCCTGCATTGGCAGGCGGACTCTCAACCACTGCGCCACCAGGGAAGCCCAAGGATTTTTTTTAATCACATTTGTTTTCAAGATTTCTTTTAAAATGTAACCAGTTGTATGGAGTGTAGATTCTTTTAGTTGCGTGAAGTATAGATTCATGAACTTTGTTTTTAATTGGTTGTCATTAGGGTCACTTTCCATATCCAGATCCTTCTCAGTGGACGGATGAAGAATTAGGTATCCTTCCTGATGATGAAGACTGAAAATGTAGACTCAACTCTTTCCAAGTGGGTATACCCCAAGTTTCTTTTTAAAGTTATATTTAACTTTTGTCAATAAACATGTTTTGACTTTGCACCTATCATGGTCTCAAAGAAACAGTGCATTTTATAACAGCATGAAGAACAATTAACACATCATGTCTAATTTCTGTCTTTGGTATTTTCACATTTGCTGTCATTCTGCCCCCTTTTCCCCATACACACTTTTAGTCTCATCTTCCTTTTCATGTTTTAAAAAATTATTTTTTCCTAAGCTATGTTACAGTTTAGGGTCCCATTTATCTATCTATTGATCAAAGACTTTTTTTTTTTTTTTGCGGTACGCGGGCCTCTCACTGCTGTGGCCTCTCCCGTTGTGGAGCACAGGCTCCGGACGCACAGGCTCAGCAGCCATGGCTCACGGGCCCAGCCACTCCACGGCATGTGGGATCCTCCCAGACCGGGGCACGAACCCGCGTCCCCTGCATCGGCAGGCGGACTCTCAACCACTGCGCCACCAGGGAAGCCCGATCAAAGACTTTTTAAGCACCAACAATGCACAGGGCTTAAAGTGATGGACAAGATAGATATGGAGCTTGTTTGTAGTTGCAAAAGTACAGTGTTCTACCTTCAGCGTTTTAATGGAAAATTCGAGCATATGGGAATGTTACAATATGGAATTGCATGGAATTAACTCTTTAAACAGTAAAAGGTTGTGGCCCTTTCATTTTCCCAATCAGGAAGTCAGAGAGAGTTTTTCTTTCAAAAGGAAGATACTAGGAGGAATTCCTTTCCTCACAAATCCTTCACGGATTAAGACATTCTCATTTAATATGATTTTAAATTAATCACTGCATGGATAATAGACCTAAAAATAAAACCCAAACTCTTAAAGCTTCTAAAAGAAAGCACAAGAGAGTATCTTCATAATCTTAAGGCACACAAAAAACTTTTGGAGAAAACACAAAAGCACTGATGTAAAAAAAACTTGATAAATTTGATTTAGCCTAATCAAAAATTTCTGCTATCAAAAGACACCATTAAGGAAATAAATATACAAGCCACTAATTGGGAAAAAACAGAGCATATATATCCAACAAAGGGCTTGTATCTAGTATATGTAAAGAACCTCTATAATCAACAAAAATTAGATGAACAACCCAATTGAAAAATGGGCAAAGGCCTTGAGCAGATACTTCACAAAAGAAGATATATGAATGGCCAGTAATCACATGAAAAAAGGCCCTTAATATCATTAATCACCAGGGAAATGCAAATTAAAACTACAGTAAGATATCATTTGTACCCACTAGAAAGACTGACAACTTTAAATGCTGATGACAATATGGAGCAGCTGGAATATTTGCCAGTAAGAATGTAGTAAGGTACAACAATTCTGTAGAATTATCTGGCAGTTTCTAATGAAGTTAAACACGTATATCCTAGGATTCAACGACTTTATTCCTAGGCATTTAGTCAAGAGAAATGAAAATAATACGTACAAAATTTTTCATAGCAATTTTTTTCTTAGTATCTCCAAACTAGACCTAATTGTACATCAGTGAGAGAACAGATAAACATATTACAGTATATTCCTTCAATTGAGTAATAATTCAGCAATTAAAAATAACAAGTTACTGGGCTTCCCTGGTGGCGCAGTGGTTGGGAGTCTGCCTGCCGATGCAGGGGAGGTGGGTTCGTGCCCCGGTCCGGGAGGGTCCTACATGTCGCGGAGCGGCTGGGCCCATGAGTCATGGCTGCTGAGCCTGTGCTCCGCAACGGGAGAGGCCGTGACACTGAGAGGCCCGCGTACCGCAAAAAAAAAAAAAAAAGTTACAAGACAGTCATTTAGGTAAATCTCAAAATCATCATATTAAGCAAAAAGAGTGAGTCACTTAAAAGTACTAATAATGAATGATTCCATTTATATGAAGTCTGCAAACTGGTGATACTCATCTATAGAGGTAGGGTTGGGGGTTGGGTTTATGTGGGTACATACAGTTGTCAGAATTCGTTGAACTAGACCTTTAATTATCTGCGCATTAACACCACAATAAAAATGTAAAACAAAAAAATTAACCATTGCACATTAATAATTGCCATCATTCAAAATACCTTGGAAATCGTTTTAAAGGATAGGAAGCATTAAGAGACAGTTAAGTGTTCCCATTAAATCATACTACTAGTATTGCTATTATTTTAATTTGAAGGAGCTTATTGACACGAAAATCACAGCAGTTTTGTGTATATGGGGGCAGGTGGTGGTGGGGCAAACAGTGAAGCTGTTTTTTTTTTTTTTTTTTTTGAGGTACGCGGGCCTCTCACTGTTCCGGCCCCTCCCGCCGCGGAGCACAGGCTCCGGACGCGCAGGCTAAGCGGCCATGGCTCACGGGCCCAGCTGCTCCACGGCATGTGGGATCCTCCCAGACCGGGGCACGAACCCGTGTCCCCTGCATCGGCAGGCGGACTCTCAACCACTGCGCCACCAGGGAAGCCCGTGAAGCTGTTTTATAGCTCGTTTCCTGTCGCTGGCTTTCCTATGGACAAGAGTCCTTACCAGGCCTCTTGTTTCCCTAGTGTTAATGGCTCTGCCAGCACTAGCCTCTTCCTATTTTCTTACATATTTTCCAGTATTCCTGTACACAGTCATTAACATTTTAATGGCTAGACTGTAAACCCTTTGAGAAATCTGCAAGGTGATTTGACTCTTCTGCAAGGCTACTCACATGACTGATGCTCAATGAATGCTTGAATAACTGAATGAACAAGAATGATGGATTTGAATTATTGAAAATAAAAGTTCTTAAAGCTTTTCACTTTTGTTTCCTTGCAGGAGCCAGGTGAGAATTTCAAGAAGTTACAGACATCATACTGTATATTAAGTTGTAAATTAAAGTTTTGGTCAAGAATGAGGAACTGAGTTATGGATATTTCTGGTAATGACAACCACCCTTTATGGATTATTTCCTGTGCTCCCAACTGCTGTGCTAACTGGTTATAGCCCTTTTGGTAGGTCTTCTTGGGTACCCCATGGTGTCGATAGATAAGCCTTAGTGCCATTTATCAGTGAGGACATCGAGGTTCAAGGAAATGAAGTAACTTGCTTAGGGTCACACACTGATGAGTGATGACATTAGGTCTGGCCCCACGCTCAACTACAGTGCCATACTGCCTACCTCCTTAGCTGATGTCTTAGTCGTATGTACACTGACAGTTTATGTGAAACTCTTGCCATTTCTCTACTGCTAGTGTATTCTTGCCCAAGTATACAGAGGTTAGAAGTCGGTGTGGTCCATCTGTTGTGTTTGTGTATCTCTTGTGGGCTGGGCATTGTGTTGAGTCACCATTTGTGGAACTCTTAAGACACACGTCTAACTAGGAATTCTTAGGGACCAGAGGAATGTGAGATAAGGGTGAAATAGGATGATGTAGTTTTTCAAAAATTTGTTTCAAAAGTATTTTTCAGCCTTCTGTAGCATCACAATTCTGAGAGGAGGTAGGACAGAATTTTCTTCTATCTACAGATAAAAATATGCAGTAGAGGGGCTTCCCTGGTGGCGCAGTGGTTGAGAGTCCGCCTGCCGATGCAGGGGACACGGGTTCGTGCCCCAGTCCGGGAAGATCCCACATGCCACGGAGCGGCTGGGCCCGTGAGCCATGGCCACTGAGCCTGCGCATCCGGAGCCTGTGCTCCGCAACGGGAGAGGCCACAACAGTGAGAGGCCCGTGTACCGCAAAAAAAAAAAAATGCAGTAGAGTGGCTTAATGACTTGCCCAGAAGCATAACTATTCATATTTTTAATTTAGGTTTTTGACCACCTAGGTGTTGGGAATACCATGCTAAACAAGACAGATGAGAACGTAGATTTTAGGAAGGGCAGACAAGTAGATAAGTGAGATTTACTAATTGCTGTGAAGGAAATAACATTGGGTGCCAGAGATGGTTGATGCTGATCTTTTTGGTGGGCGGGGAAGACATCTGAGCTGAAACCTGAACAAGTAGCAGGAACCAGTTGTGCGGGGTCTGAAGGAAGAGTGCCTCAGGGACAAGGAATAGCGAGAACCAAGGTCTAGGGAGGGACCAAGGTCACCATGTTTAAGGGACAGAAAGTCCAGTGGGGTTCCAGCAGGGGAGGAGAGGGTGGGACTAGATGAGATAATAGGTCATGGTTGCAGGTTTAGATTTTATGTTAAATGCAGTGAGAAAGCTTCTGACAGGCTCTAGGCAGTGGGTGGTCCAATTCGAGTTCCTAGTTCTTAGGTTTTTCACATCCCCCCTTTGGTTCTCCCTAGGTGTTAGAGTGGGCATAATGGCAACAAAAGCTAAGTGGAACAGTTTCACCCTCCCCACTGCCAGCTCCAGCAGTCCTGAGCCTGTTGCACAGGGTGTCTGAGGCTCTCCTTGGTTTTGTGTTTACTCACCTGTGTAGGAGTGTGCTGTCTCACCTGATAAATATTTATGGTCTTTAAAAGACCGTTAGATCTCTGTGTACTTTTTAGGTTTCATTTATTTGTTGTTCTCCACTGCCACCACCCCCTGCCACCCCCGCCCCGATGGATGAAAGTTGTTTCGGGAAGGAATACAATCTGCAACAGTGAACTCAAGTAGGATAATCCCATTAGCTTTTTTCCTTAGAAATCAATCAGAGTTGCTTGACTTGAATTAAAAGATAACTTTAAAACTAGCAGTCTTCTAAAGTTGGCCAGTGTGGCCTCCACATGCTGGATCCTCTTTTCCATACCTGGGCTGTGAAATCAGTTTGCACTGATGCAGAAATTGTCCCAGCCCAAGGAATAGGCCTCCACCCTCCTCATATTCTTTCCATTTTATAGATGAGTAAGTTGAGCTGTAGATAGGTAACTTGCCCAAGCTACAAGTTAAGAGAACTGAGGTTCAAATCCTGGTTGTCTGGCTGTAGGTCTGAGTGAGGTAGATGGTGTAAAGCTTTTTGATCATGACCTACCTACTCTAAGAAATAATTTTACATTGTGACCTAGTGTGTGTGTGTATGTATACATACGTACATAAATAATACAAAAGTTTTATGAAAACTTATGTTACATTTTCTTTTATATTCTATTCTACATTTTAAAAAATGGTTGAGACTGATTTTACTACCCACTAATGGGTTTCAACCTGCAGTTTGAAAAACTGGCACAGTGCTTGAGGAACTCAGGCTCTGGAGCCGAACTTGCTTGGTCTGACTCATAGTTCTACCATTTATTTACTTGCTGTGAGTTTGGGCAGACTACTTATTTGAACTGTGCCTCAATATCCTCATTTGTAAAATGGATTAAATCGATTAAATGAGTTAGCACATAAAGCCCTCAGAACTACATCTGGCATGAAGGAATGGAAGCAAATATTATTTCTAGACCATTGGGTCTAAGCTAAGTTTATAGTGACCCTTGAATCCTGGTTTGATTTTTATAGAAAAGCCTCCATATGGAGATAAACTGTAAACATTATTTCAGCAGATGCAGTACCACCCTTCTCCTCTGCCTAAAGCAAGACAGACATTTAGGATGACCTTTTCTTCCTTCCTATTGAGTTGCTAAAAGTACATTCTAAGTCAGTTTTAGTGTGTAGCCTGGTAGATGGACAGATGTACCTTCATAAATGGAAAGGTAGGCAGTGAAAGAATTATTGATGGCAACAGAATATTAAGTGTCAAATTTTAACACACAAATTTGTAAGTTTACTAAGTTTCCTATGGAAACTTGAGTGTAAATACCACAATTGATTACCTAATAAAGTTATGAGACCAGGGAGGTACTGTGTAAGGAACACCTGTTGTGCATGTTCTGGGAAGGTACAGAAGTCATCTTGGTTCCACTTGCTTCTAGAACTATTCTGTAGAAGAGGCTGACCCGGGTACCTTTTGCCACCAATCTCATCAGGAGCTTCAGCAGGACATCAGTGTACAGTGGAGGAAACAGGAGCTGCCTGAGCTGGTACTGACCTGCCTGAGCAACTGGGCCTTTACCTTTTATCACCTGCATGAGCAGTGGGCTTGCTTGCCTGGAGAAGACAGAAGGAGCAAGTGGAATACACCTGGCACAATATCCATTTCTAGCTACAAACTCAATGTCACTCAATTTCACTATAACCATCATCACAACCACAACAAAATTTTATACATACAGTATATATAAAATGCATAGTAGTGATCTTGGAAACAAAAGTCATGACTGAGTCCTGGCTACGTGAGCCTAGGGAAGTCATCCCTGGGGGGATTCATATTTAGTAGCTGATGAGGGGACCATGAAATCTTTAAGGCTGAACCATATAAACTTTTTTTTGGCCGTGCCTTGCAGCTTGTGGGATCTTAGTTCCCCAACCAGGGATTGAACCTGGGCCCCCTGCAGTGGAAGTGCAAAGTCCTAACCACTGGACTGCCAGGGAAGTCCCTAAACCATGTAATCTTTAAGAACTCTTTTGGCTCTAACATTTTACGAATCTAGGAGAACTACACAGCCCAGACAGTAGGCCCAATTACTACAGCCCCTGATAAAATTTCAGAAGAGCTAGTATGGTAGGGTTCTTTATAATAGAATTTTATCACAATAATTAAAAGTTTCATAATTCTGGACTAAATTTTAAGGAAAACTTATAGAATAATGCATTAAGAAATGAATCCACAATTACCCTACTGTAATCATGTATGAAGGTTATTTAAAAATGAGTTTCTGTAATTATTACAGAATTACATTTTTCAGATGAGAAAACTGCAGTTCAGAGAAAATACTTGTCTCAACAGCATTTTATGATTTGCTGGAGAGGCATGAAGACCAGAAACCAGATTCCTCAAATATGTACCACCTTGAAGACTTTTCTGTTTATATTTTTCTCAGACATAGGGTTTCCAGGTAAAGTCTTAAAATTGTTTACCTCTCCTCTGGAAACTGCCTGGTAATATGACATAGCCTTGATGATATTCTAGGTGTCTTTCTTTCAAGCTTTATGAAATCAAATGCATAAAATCAACTCATGGGGGAAGGTAGCCAGCATTAAAAAAAAAAAAAAAAGAAGTGTAAAACAGGAGTGCATAGTTTCAAATATATGTATTTGTGTGTACTGTCTGTGTTCCTATAGAAAATGTATTACTGGAAGTTGTGTCAAAAAAGTTTGAAAGATACCAAAGTTCAGAAAATGGAACTTCTACAGACTACTACTTAAACGACTCTATTACAGCACACACGTCATTTGAGCCACTGGAGGGGAACAGTCAGATCACAGCATCATAAAATGCTTGAGAATAATCACCAACACCAGATAAAAAACTCTACTACAAAAGTGTAGCCGGTGCAATGTACTAGGTATTCATCTTGACAATTTACTTTTAAAATATTTCTCATAAATACCTCTGCCCACCAAGCGGTAACTGGAAACAATGTACACTTCTTAGTTCCTCCACTGCCTGATAGAACTGACCGTCAAAAGCCCTACTTCCATTATTGAATGTGACAGTGCTAGAAAAATGCTCTTGATAAAGACTTCTCCATGCAGTCAATCTTTATTATAGCAGTATTCGCATATTCACATCAAGTACATAGAACTTTTTTGCCTTTTATATAGTACAGAGTTTTTAAATAACTTTACACAGAAATAAATTTCTTCAATCTGAATTTCAGCTATCTTTTTTTTAATTCTCCATGCTTTCTATCCAAACTGAACAATATTTTCCATTGTACAAATTTACATGAGAAAAACTCCAAAATACAAGTGAAAGGACCTGAGCAGGAAAGAGAACCCAAAGTATCAAGAAGCGGGGATGGGGAAGAATTGAAAAAAAAAAAATTCAAGCAAACACTGAGGATTAAGGGACAAGAGGGAAACATCATCCGTTTGACTGAAAATAAATGTCTTTTTTTATGAGTTGAAAAATAAGCTTTAAAAATAGTTACTCCTTTGTAATTTTCGCAAAGCAGGTATAGAGAGGTCTGTGGACAATTAAAAAGTCCCCATCTTTTCACTGGGCACACCCCAGACTCCATGAGAACCTTTTCAATGCTTGAGCGGAACTGAAGTGAACTAAACCCAAACCTCTGGCAGCAAGAGAGGAGAGGAATGTGAATGTGAATCGCCATAAGGTTTGGAGTAAACCAGGGGCCATTAACTCACTGCAGTTAAAACATGAAGGATTTCCCTTTCCCCTCTCTTACAGAAGAATTGTCCTCAAACCGAGAAATAAGTGAAAGGCGGGGGGTGGGGGTGGGGCGCGGATTTCCTTTTTCTTGGTCCAAACCAAAGAGCAATCATAACTACTAAATAGAATTCAAAGGGACATATGTTAAACAGTTAATTTCAATCTCCTCATAGTTGTACACTCATATTTTAGAAGAAACAGCAACTGCTGAGTGAGGAAAGGGTCAGAGTGCACAACAAATGAATGAGCTATGTCACTGTGATAGAGTCCTTCAAATCAGGCGATATGAAGGCCAAGCCGAGACTATAACCTGTGGCATGGCCAAAGGAAACACACAGGACCCAACAAAGGCGTTTTCAAACGAAGGAGGGAAAATTTACAGCATACACACACATACACACCCCTGGATGTAAACTAACATAACATGAAGATAAATAAGACATAAAGGTTAGCCATTTATGTTGGTAATTAACATGAATAAAAAGGCATTATATGTTTACATAGCTGGTTTTAATCAGCTACAGAACACAGGCAAATGTATTAGGAAGGAATGATTTTTTAAAAAACCCGTTCACAGCTTAGAATAAAAAGCACACTTATTGCACTCTTAACATTTTATTTCAGGTAATTATAGTTTATTTCCCACCCTCATATCAATTCTTCCCTACCCCTAGACTTACTCCCATACCCTCCCCCCTCCCATTTTGGTCCATTTTGTCTACACCTGTGCCTAGACTGTGAGCTTTGTTGCTTATGCTAGTCTGACGTTTCCTCTTATGTAACACATACTCCACCAAAACACAAGTGGGTTAAAAAAAGCTTAACACACAAATGTAACACAATAATTCTCAAAACAAAACCAACTTACTAAGCAACTTACTCATAAGCCCTATCTCCACTCCTGTAAACAGAACACTTCCTCTGCTCCACCTCTTCAGTGAATTTCATGCCCAATTCCCTACATAGATTCTGTGATGAGAACCAGCCACTCGCGGGTGCTGGACAATGTGCTCAGCCTGCCAGGAGAAGCAGATGGTTTGCACAAATCTTTTTTTTTTTATGCTAACATGAATAAACATATTTTAGTTCTTTGTTTTCAAAGAGTACTTCAACCTACAGAATTCTTAAGAAAAAAAAGCATCACAAAAAAACCCAGATACACTCACTGGCTGTGTCCTCATGCACAACTGGTTATATCATTGTAATTAGTCAAAACTGCTAAATAAAATTAAACATTTTAATGAAACTGATTTAGTAATAAGACTAAGTTAACAGTTGGGTAAAGGGGGTCAAAATGTTAAAAAAAAGTATTACAAGAACAACAGCTGAAATTGTGGATACTGAAATAAATGATACACTCAATCAATTTTTTGAGGTAGAGACTAACCACCCCTAAGCGTTCTAAAATAAACCACTGTTACCTTAATTTAAGATTTTAGGACTTAGTTTCTGTCCTCTTCTACATTAAAAACACCTGATAGAAACTGTTAATTGCCACAACTGGCAAAATTTAGGACTGAAATTCAATTTAAATGTTTTCCCAAACAGAAGTGAAAATTGATTATCTTCAAACAACAAAACAAAGCTTACTCTCTAGTGTACTAATAAAACAAAAATCTTACCAGTATTTTCAATTTACCAGAGCTAGCAACATGGAATATGAGTACACTGGCCACTTCACTCTCCTCTGGGGGCCAATATACAATCAGGCAGAGATGCTACTGCACCCCTCGGGTGCTCAACAACCTATGGGCATTAGTAATACTCCTTAGTGAAACGTCTAGAGAACTTGCTGAAGCCTTTCTTGGGGGTGGCAAGGAATCAAGATACTAGAAGCACACCATGGAGTGTGTCCAGTTCACACCCGCCAGCCTTATGTCCCCTCATAGAGGAGCCCTTGGAAATTCCACCTGGCCCCCAGAGCATTAGCAAGACAGTCCCACTTAATTTGCAAACAAATCCTGAGAGGCAAGTTTATATTTCAAACTCTGGAAAATCAGTGTCTAGGTTGGCAGCAGTACTATGGGAACTGAGAAAATCAAATTCTGTCCTATATGTTAATTTCATCCTTCTCACTAGTTAATACATATGACTGCTGCCCAGCATATAGTAACTTCAACCCTAAACTACAGCAATTTCTTAAAATGTCTGTCAAACATTCCTGTTATATAAAAGTTCCATGCTTTGAAGAACCTATGGGAGTAGAAAAAGTTTCTCTAGAAATGTCACTGAATTATGATTTCAACCTATTTGCTCTATGTGATAAATATATCTGACTATACTAGGGATTATGTGCTTTAAAAAAATAATTTTGTTCACTGAAAATTTACCTGTGTGTTTTCTCATTTTTTTAAACATGATTTTGGCTATAAACTCTTTAGTGCATTTATCTTTGCAGTCTAAATTGCACGCTAAAAAATATTAACACAGCTGAGTTAGACCAGGGTGGCTGCTCTCTTCACAAATCACTGATTTCTGCTAAAATTTTAGCTTTTTTATTGCATCATGAAGGCACAGGAAGATCATTTGGCAAATTGTCAAGGTATTTTTCTAGAGCCTTACCTACACCATTTCAATGTATGACCTGTAAGCTATTTGCTGTTTATACTCACAGTAAACTTTCCATGTCTGGCTATGGTTTTTTTGTTTGTTTTGCTTTTTACTAGTCTAATGGTTGAAATTGCTATTCTCAAAGTGCTGATTTTCTAGCACAAAGAATGCCAATTTGGACAAAGAAGAGAAACTTGCAAAATGGGTCATCATTCTACCCTCTTAACTGGGCAGTCTCTCTACAGGAGCATCTGTGCATGTGATGAAGCTGCGGCTAACTCATTATGAAGATGTACTGTCTTGCTAATAAGCCTACCAAAAATTAAAATTATATCACTGTTAGTGAAGTGTTACCATTAACTATTTAATTTCATGCAACCGATATAAGGTTAAAAATTCTGAAACGTACCCCTAAAGAGATTCTGGCATCACTTTCAACAACATTCAGATACTCTGAGCTACATTTGTCAGTATTACTGCTTAAATGTATAATGCCCTTTAGGACAAAATGAGAAGGCTCAAATACAAGTACACATAAAAGTTAAAATCTTAAATCATCTCCATGTTCTAGAGCTCCTGACTTTTCATATTTTAAAATAAATAACTATTCATTACCTCATTCTGAGGAGGTAGTTTTAGAAGAGGTCACCTGAACCCTGCAATGTGTTTCAAAGTAAAGCTAAATGAGGTGTGCACAAGGCTGGAGAGGTGAATGTACGGGAGGGGCAGGTGAGATCTGAGGAGGGGTGTGCAGCAGTTCCAAAATTGCCTGATGAGTAAAAGATAACATTGTGTGATAAAGAGCTGTGACCGCACCAAACAAGAATCTAGGAAATATTTACAAAGTTTCAGGTTGACAGTGTTGAAGTCTTGGATCTTTATTACTAAGTAACTGCTCTTTCTTTTCCAACACTGACATAAATATAACACGTATACTAAAGTATATGGGATTTTATCTTCTAGCTTGCCTTAGCATGTCCTACCAGATCGCAAACACAACCAGGGATTGGATGTTAAGGAACCAGAGTTTGACAGCGAGACAGAATCTTCTTTTAAGAGTGCACTTAAGTACAAATGATTACAGTGGATTTTCTATTCACAAAATCCCTTTTATAAATTACTTTTTGGTCAATATTATTTCAGTGGTAAAAGTTTAGACCCTAGACTAGTTTAATGATGAAAAAGTCCATCAGGAATACTACATACTTTAAAACAATCTGTTATGGTTACTCTGAAATTTTTCAGAAGGTGTCACCTCTCCTTATCCAAAATAAAATACACTACAGAAGGCACTGCAGCCGCCTTACAGGAAAGACAGATAAGTGCAGCCTTACAAGCCTGTCAGTAAAGCAGCCACATAATATCGATACAAACTACTCATAAAGTGCACTGCACAACAAACAAGGAGTTCTTCCCTTGTATTTTCTTAGGAGCTCAAGTCTATCTGTAGTCTAAGCATCAAAAAAAGCATGTAAAACTCAGGGGAAATTCCTTTTCCATGCCATTTGTAAACTAGAGAAAAAGTATTTAATGGAGAAAAGGAAGAAAAGGGAAATGCTAAAATTTTATTTTTATTTTTTAAGGGCTCTATACAAATCTCTCAAGAATACCCTGAGCCTGGCTTCTGGGCACAGCTTCATTTAAGAAATGAGATTTTTCAAATGAGATAGCAATGTATTCTAAAAAGAAAGGGAAGAAAACAGTGTTTAATCACCTTGAATTTTGTGTTGAAAACTCCAATGCTAAGCTCCCTCCATAACTAGCTCCTGTGCTGGCTCCTGCCGTGCTCAGGGAGGGAGTCCTGCACTAGAAGCTCCGGCAGGACACGCCTACTGTTCAAGCCCAGCTCTCTCCAATCTAGGAAAAGGTAACACAAGCATGTTCAAAAGCATCTGTGGGGACATATTTAAAAAGAAAAATAAACAATGCTTTTAAAAGAGAGGCAGCATTATGTACACAAGATGCTCTTCAAATCAGCACAAATCATTTTCATTCTTGCAATTTCTCAATTTTGTAAGATACTGCTCTGCTCACGAAAGACTAAAGAACACACTGCTTTTCAAACTCGTTAATAACTTGAGGATTATTTCCCATTTTACTGGGACAATCTTTTACAAGTCCATGGAATTTTCAACAGGCCTTCCTCTGAATATAGGTAACGTAGCAAGAAATCATCTAATGACAGTAAGCTTTAATAGGCTGAAAAATAGCGGGGCAATTTACAATTTGAAAACTTTAAATAATTTCTAATTCCCTGATTTATTTTGTAGGTCCTGTCTAATTTCTTTCAGGTCCTTCACTACATAGCTTGGTTGGGCTAGGTACGTTTGATTTACATTCCTAAATCTTGATAAGAGTCCAGATTCATGATAAGGGGGGTATTTGCCATTAATACATCCAGAGTCACTTTCTTTGCTACTACTGTGATTTATACCACACTTCAGTAAAGGTCAAGGGAAGTTATGACTAGGTTATATTCCCCATTTATAAAGATAAGGAAAAAGTTCTTAATACCACAGCAGTTCTTTCTATAAAAACAACTGATGTCAGGCTTTTCACATCCTCCCTCAGTCCCAATACACCTAAAATTGCTCTATTCTCTGCCTGGGGGACTCGGCTGCCAAAGTTAACCAACCTTTTGAAGACCAGGCTTGGGAAAAAAGGAAGGAGGAGAATGAATGGAGACACCACCATTTTTATTTGAGGTTGCATATGCTAGATCAAAGACTAGAAAGAAAATGTAGGATGTAGTGCAGGAGTTAGTTGGAAGAAACAATGAGATATTAGTAAAGATGTTAGTGTGGATCCAGCAAGTACCATTAATTTAAAAATTATAAATATTTGTCATTATGCTAAGACTCCCCATATATTTAGGTAGAGAAAAGGATACTGATCTTTCTTTAGAAGTTGTTTATATAACAAAAATACAATTTTCCAGGATATATAATTCTAGTGGGAAGTATTATTTTATTCCAATTCAATTAAATCTGAAAATTATTTTGTTTTTAATAAAAATATAATAGAAGAAATTCAGAAATTAAAACTTGTACCTTACATTTAAATTATATAAATGTCTCACATTCAAAACTGTTATCAAGCAGTTTTGTAGGCTTTTAATTAGATACAGGCATTTTGTGCCCTGGACAAAGTAGCCACATAAGTAATTGGTGACTGGAAGAGCTTAGGAGGAAGGTATCAGTTGTATTTTCCTGAGAACTTGCTACATCGTGGAGAAAAAAAATCCCCAAACACTCGTCTTCATTGCTGGACCCAATGGGAAAAGAAGGCAATGTGCGCCAGAGCTTCCAGTCTGCCCGCCAGGCAGAGCCTGAGTGAGCGAGGAAACAAAGGCCAGAGACCCAGCAGGTCAGGAAAAAGATGCAGCATTCCCTTTTCCTCTACACCAAAACCTACCTCCTCATCTCTCACCCTCCATTTAAATGAAATAGCTTCATTTTGGTAAAAATTTATCAAGGACTGAACATGCACCATACAGGAAGGGCATGCTGCATTTTTGTTCCATCCCTCAGAAATTAACCAGTGGTGGCTAGGGGAAAGAGCTCCACAACAAAATCCCAGAACAGGAAAGAGAACGAGGCTTGGTGATTGCAACTGCCCCATCAGATGATCAGCCACATATTGATCTGGTGGTTAGAAGGGCAAAGTTGACTGGCAGACTTTCCAGAGCAAATCTCCCAAGCTGTAGCAGCAGTTTCTTTCCATCATGCCTGACCATCAAAAGGTCAGAACTCAGGGTCTCCTCTTTCTTCCTGGGAGTGGGCAGACTTGTATGCACGTGGTATTTGTGTTGAAGAAGAAACACTGGCAGCAGAGAATTCTAGTTCCTAAAACATTCTTCCCTCTTTTGTTGGATGGGAAATTCCATTCTGTTCCACACCAGCTTATGCATTGAAAATTTTTATCTTTAAAAAGAGTTAAGGAACAGAACTGTGTTTTGATGTTAACAAATTGTACGAACACAAGACTTAAATAAGAGTAGATGCTGTCGTGATGGTGTGGCTACTTGAAGGCTGCAAATTCTCCTGTAGAGGGAGGACAAGAGCTAATTTTAAAAAAGTTATCTCAAATAACCTAGAGACACAGAAAAGCCTCATGGAAACCTCACTGAAAGGTGACTAGCTATATGTTACAAATCTAGCAACGACATCACTAATTTAAAAGTAAAAAAGGCTGTAACCATGAAAGACGACAACTTATATAGGATATTAAGTCTGTAGATAATTTCCCAGTTGGGTTTTACATGCTATGATTCTAATCAAGCTGAAACAGTTCCAATGAACAAAACTTCTCAGTAACTGACGGTAAAACAGTAAGGCTGATTTGTAGAACACTTCCCACCTAAATTATCAACTCATTTTCATTATTATAATGCCACTATTAGGAAGGAAGAAGCAGGAATTATTCTCATTTTGTAAAAGATAAAATTCACAGGTCAAATGATCTGTCCACATCACACATTTGAACGAAGGAAAGGAAGTTCAGACCTCTCCCATTTGTAGTTCATTTCACCTTTTAAACTACCAAAAAATTACTTATAGGCACATGTCAATGAACATTATTCTCAGCATAAAAATGTTTTTAACCACAAAGACCCTCTGAGGTACTGCACTCTTTTGCTTACTGAATTTGGGGGCTTCATCCCTTATTTTTCACCTACTATTTTGTCCACAGCTTCTACTTCAAACTAGGGTTCCTCTTATTAAATACACCACAGTTAATTTCTGGGGGTTGGTTGATAACTGACAGCTATCAGAATTTAGTGAGCCTTAACATCATTTTTCTGTAACATAGCTTCTGATGAGGATCCAAGCAATCATTTATATGAATACACTGTTTAATCGAGGAATAATCTATGTTTTCTGATTGCTGTTCGATTTCAACTGGTGTACCAGAGAACACTGGCATGTTCCAACAAACAATGGATTGCTAACGACTGGCTGACTGAACCCTCAGATTGTATGCTGATAATATTAGCAACTACTCGAGTGTCTATTATAGTATACCAGATGCCTCACTCAACACTATACACATTTGCATCTGATCCTCATAATAACTCTATGAAGCAGGTACTATTACTTCTCTTTAATTTATAGAGGAGCAAGCTGGGATTTTAAGTAACTTGCCAGAAATCTCACAGCCAGAAAATGGCAGAGTTGGAATGTAAAGCCAGGTGCTGACTCCAAAGTCCAAGGTCTTAACAATTAACAGACCCCCTAAATGATTTTCAATAATTAATAATTTGCTTTCCTGTTCTGAATACAACTACTAATTGGACTGCAGACAGCGATACTATCTCTTTCCATCTAAGGATTCCTTTCAACAATTAACCAAGGTATTTTGAGTCAAAAGATCAAGGAAGGGTAAAACATTTATTACCCTTCATATTTAAAGTTAAAAGAACTGGGGAAATTGGCACTGATTGGAAGAAAAAAAAGTCAAATTACTAAGACCCTGGAGAGTAAAACATTTAGAGCATAATCATAGGAGGCTATTATGTTAACAGAGACTCTAGAAATACATAAGCATCCTTATTATCTTTGCTTATGGTTTTATGGTTGCTATTTTTTCAGAAGTATTTTAATACATTTCTTAAAAGCAATTTTCGACAGTTTTTATGAGTAGTCACTGTATCTAACAGAACCTAAAACTCCTTAAAGGAAGCCAATGTGAAAACAGGATTTGCTTAACAGAAATCTTTATAAAAAATGGCTAGAATTCATCTATTAAGTGAGAAAATATCAGAAAATGATAAACTCTAAGCCCAAATCTTATATACCATGTTAAAAATAACTTAAAAAAATCTTCAGATGTTTCCTACTCATTATTACAATTAGACACTCCATTTCATTTAACAGTGTTCTCTACAAACTTAAATATTAGCCTTAAAAATACAAACACACAAAACAACCCCCCAAAGCACAAAATCTTGCCAACAAACTCCAAATCAAATACCAATAAAGCAAACACTAAAGATCTCGCTACCAGAGTCTACTGCTTCTAATGGAATGTGGTTCTTTTCATAATCAGACTTCAGGTCCAGGGGGGTAAAAAAAAGACAAAAAGGACTCATAGTTTAGAGAGCAATAAAATAAAACTCCTTCTACATATGTCCCTGAAATCACAGAAAATTTAAGGAAAAGACAGGGTAACAGGAGATGGATCTGCTATTGGAAAAAAAAAATTTTTTTTTCTTGCTTATTCCTCCTTGCATATCAGGAAATCTCTACTATCCCAACTCCTACCCTATTTTATTTGAGGTAAGAGCCAACTCTGCTTGTGTGAAGTTGTTTGAAGTGAAACATCTAGATATTCTGACTTTAAAATAATTTAATTATTAACCAAAAAATCAAGCAGAGGCCAAAATGAAACTTTTTAAATAACCTCCTTTTTGGCTGAGAATAACCTAAGCTCTATTTTCCATTTGACTTTATTAAGGAATGGGGCAAAGAACACTTGGGAAGATCCCAAGATTTCAGACACCTCCAATATCATGCTTTGTTAATTTGAAAGCTAAGGACTTGATTAACTAGTTTTAAGATATTACTAATCACCCTTAATTCTAGAATTAAATGTATTTCAGTGGCTGTTACACATATAATTTGATAAAGAATTCCTTAAAGATTAAATATGCTGTGAAAAATCTAACACGTTATTTTGTACGTAAATAAATCCCTGTCTTAGATGTAGGGGGGCAGTCATTTGAAACTAGAATAAGTCCCATTCTTTTTTTGTGGTGACCTTTCAGGCAGTTTCTAAAGGATGAGGAACATTCTGCCAGAGACACACTGGACTTCTTAAAATTCTTAGAGAAATGATCACAGGAGAGATGAAATATTTAGTAAAAGAAAAAGTACCATAGAAATGTTCAGTAATTCTCAAATAAGACTATAACTGACAAAACGTTTTAGTCATGAAATACTCTTTTCATAACACTTAAAAAAAAAAGGCAGATCATTTCCTTAAATTGAGTGTGATCTACTTGAGAGAAAGGCCATTTAATAAGCAAGTGTGTTAAATAGTCACTATTTTAAAGAGAATGACTTTAACTACTGGTTTAGTATTTAAATGGTTGGTACAATCCTGTAATATCTGAAAACAAACAAACCTGAAGTATTTGAGTTAAATGCTGTGATCCCTAAACTACTTAAAACCAAGAAGACAAACCTCATTCCTCATCACTGACTGGTAAAACTTTTAAAATGTAAAACAAATTTTATAAAATGGCTGCCTTCTGAAGAAGGATATCAACTTTAATGAAAAGATCTGAGGCTTCAGATTTTAGGAAAGAAGCCGTCAGCTGCAAGATAATGAATGTCCTTCTGTTTCAATTCCTTAGTCAAAAAGATTAACTCTACACATGGTTAGGAAAATACTGTTTTTCTTATTTGGAGAATACATCTAAGACTCAGTATCAAACAGACAAACAGCAACAACAGAAAGGGAAACTACCATGTATCATTCTAATGCTTTCTACTTCTCCAGATCCATGTTATTTATATATTTCACCTGCTCTATTTTTAATGTTCTCCCAATAACATTTCCAGTGGGCCCAATTTGGAAAGAAGAGAATTACTATGCAGTCCATTGAAGGCATGTTCAAATGTCAATGGGATGGTATTATGCAGTGGTCCCCAACCTTTTTGGCACCAGGGACCGGTTTCGTGGAAGACAATTTTTCCACGGACGGGGTCGGGGGAATGGTTTCAGGATGATTCAAGCACATTACATTTATTGTGCACTTTATTTCTATTATTATTACATTGTAATATATAATGAAATAATTATACAATTCACCATAATGCTGACAGGAGGTGGAGCTCAGGTGGTAATGTGAGCGATGGGAAGCAGCTGTAAATACAGACAAAGCTTCGCTCCATTGCCTGCCACTCACCTCCTGCTGTGCGGCCCAGGGATTGGGGACCCCTGGTATAATGAGTTTTCTGAGCAGCTCTAAGAGTTTCGCAAATGCCCTCTGGCAAAGGAGACTGGTAAAGAAAGGAAGGAAAAGTGTCAAATGCAGATGTGGGGAGCTGGGTAGTATTTAGTGTGGGTAGTGTTGGGGGGAAAAAAAGAGAGTGAACAAAGAAAGGAAGATAAAAGTGAAGAAAGTATGCTGAGGAATTATGAAAGAGCTCTGTCAATAAAAAGATCCTTTGACTCTTGTGCCTCAAAATGCCCAAACCTTTGAGCATTCCACAGACCAAGTCAATTTGTAAAAACTTTGTTAGCTACATGCTTGCTATTCAATTTGTGAATAAATAAAACCCAATCTAATAGTTACTAATAATCACATCTTTAGCGTCACTGGAAGATTTAGAAATCACACACTTTTATGTTTCTGAATAAGTCACATTCTTTTATGACTTTCTTATTCTCATTTTTTAAAATACAATAAACGTTCTTTTTCACTACTCTTCCTACATTCAAAGTCATGAATTTATTTCTAAAAACATGAATGGCATTATTTATCTTAAGATACCCAAATGGGGGGGCACAAGGTATGCCAAACTTATCACTGAGTGGTTTCCCTGGATGAAATCTAACTTATTCAAATAAAGAAAATATTTCAAAAATTTATTTGTGATACTTACAAGACTAAATTATCACTAAAGTCCTCCCGATTTTCTTCTTTATTGGCTTCCAAGAAGGATGGCATTTATGCAAATGCCATCTGTGTGCCCCTGAATAACCCTGGAACTGTCAGTTATATTTAATATCATCACAACTCCAAACTGAGTAAATGAAGATGTATTTAAGAGGCTGGCTTTGGTCCCTAGGCTGACTCTGAAGTAGAGACGGTGATTTCTTTGATGACAGCAATGCTGCTTCTTTCACTTTTGATTCCCGGTAAGATTCTGGTTCACAGTAAGAATATACTGACTGCCACATTACAGTTATTTTCTACATAAGAAAGTGTAAGCATTAGAAAGCGCTAAACGTACTATACACACACACACACACACACACACACACACACCGTGGAATAAAAAAAAACAATTCATACATTCATAATAAGGAGGACAGAGACACACGGATAAGTCATTGCTAATATGCATCATGAGAGGTGAGTATAACCTAAAATAATAATTTTTAAAAAATCCATTACCTGGTTGTTTGGCAACCACAGTTATCTAAAAGAAGAACAAAACAAACCTACAAGTTCTCACAGAATTCTGTGGAACTTTTTGGAAGGAAGAGGAGGCAATGCATTTGTAAGGAAATTCGACTTCTGCATTGTGTAAGACATCCTTAATATATAAAGAAATATTAACTAAAAATCCAAAGTTAAACCATGTTACTCATGTCAAACATGCCACTCAGCAATATCTCTGGTTACCTGTACCCATAATTTATACTGCTCTAAGGGAATAAAGGACAACTATATTTTCCAAACTGTATTAACAAAAAGAAATAGTTATAAGAAAAAATATTAAGAATAAAAATAAGCTTATTCAATTTTAGTGACTCCTAATTAGACCTGTTCAGTTTACCTTCACTAACACAGCCTAACCTACTGTCAGCTTCCCACCTGCCATCACACACACAGGTGGCAGCGTTGTTCTTGGAGCCCCTAATGGACGCAGGACAGCTAACAGCAAAAGGTGAGTGAGGAAAGTTTAACTGAAGTTTAATAATTAGAATAATCAAGTAAACAAAATAAACTTGGAACGGGAAGTAAAACCTCTGGAAAAGGTACTGTGAATTTTCAGCAATGTCTGAGAACTTCAAAAACCCTTCGATGTTGAAACTCTAATGCTAAGTATGAATTTTAGATTGGCAAAACAATTATATCCAGTCTTTAAAAACATACATGTTCTTTTGTTCACCTTAAAAAAAAAGAATATCCTATTCAATTTAACAAATATGTAAGCAAACATATGTTCACTTTCCTTTGTCCCTACTGTCCTACACTCTGTCACTCATTTAGTTTGTTAAATGGACAGGAAACGCACCATATCCCCCTGCTTGGATGGGTGTTTTTGGAGAAGCACAAGCATACAGACTAAAATCCTCTGTTTGGAAGCCAGCCCGATTCAAAGAGGGTTCGGATGCACTGCGGTGAATTTTTGGCAATGAGCGGGCCAGCAGCTCAATAGAGGCGAGAATCTAAAAAAAGAAAAAAAGAAAGAATGATGAAAATCTAGGTGGTGTTAATCTTTAAGAGCCCCATCATACTCTACAAGAAAGCATATGAAATCTTATAATACACTGTTTTCACTATTATCTCAAATGCCTGGAAAATAGTAAAGAAACTGATACTTTTCCTTAAAAAGAAGAGAAAATTACCAAACTATTACAGCTTTACTCTCTATAAACTGAATGGGAAAAGTAACCCATAGTTAGCTTTTCTTTACATTTTATAATTTTAGATCATTTGCCAGCCTTGAAACAGTAAATAAAAAAAAATTTAAAATCAATTATATACCTATTTCTCACAGACCACAAGTCCCTTTTGGGAAGAAGATGGAGCATAAATAACGAAAGCACTATATAACTTCATAAACAGAACCATTAGAGCAACTTATTCTTTAAAGAAATTTAGTAATGGGAAATGTCTTACACACACATAATTAAAAACAGGGCCCCAATGACCCAGAATGCCAGCACCACAGGAGTGAGAAGTGACAGATGAATACCCATAAGTGAAAGAAAAGATAGGAAAACTCTACAAGTAGACACCAATGCACAAAATGTAGAAATACAGCACATTTTTAAGGTACAAAGAAACCGGTTATGACTCTTGAAGGCATACAGTATGATAATGCATGAAACATACATATAAAAGGCTTGGCACAATGCCTGGCATATAGTAAGTACTCAATAAAACTTTAGCAGCCATTATTACTACTACTATGATTATATACTATATAGTATTATACACATTATATACTACTATTATTATTTTTCTCAGCTACCAAAAATTTTTTTGAAGTTAAACTGTAATCTGTAGAGTGATTAGTATAAGAAGGCAAAGAAGCAATGTTACAAAATTTTTAAAATTATAAGCATAACACACAAATAAAAATTCAAATAATACAGGAAAGTATGAATGCTACCTTCCAGGGGTAACCACTGTTAAGGAGTCTATACTTTCTTCTGGACCTTTCCTATGCATAAACATGCACATATGAAAACAGAGCCCATCCCCTCCCTCACCACCATTTAAAGTGGTATCACAGTACACATTTTTCTGCATTGCTTTCTTTTTCCCTCACTGACATCCAAGCCATCTACAGAGAGATACCTTGATCTTTATGTCTTTAATTTTTCCAGTTACAGTTAACAGTCTTTATCCGGATACCTGTGGGGGCAGATTCTGTAGCATATAGCATAGATTTTCAGGAGTGGAATTACCAGAGCAAAAGGTGTATGTATTTTAAGTTTATGGAGTCTACCAAGTCCTTTCAAAAAAGGTCAAACCAATTTACATTCTTACCAACATTCCTTCCTTACTTCCCAACATTGTACCCAATGCTGGATACTATCAATCTCAGAGACAAAATCAAAATGTATTTCACAATTGTGACTTTGCATTTTACTGATTATCACTGATGTTATTATTCCTAACATCCTGTGCTTAAGTTCATTCCGCATTTGTACTTCTTCTGTGAATCACCAGTGCATATTCTTTGTTGATTTTCCTTTGATTACCTTTTACTTATGGATTTGTAGGAGTCCTCTGTATAGCATAAACACTCTTTATTATACATGCTACAATTATTTTTCTCAGTGTTTTCCTTTCAATATTATTTTTACTATATAGAAATTTTAAAATGTTTAATGTAGTCATACCTGCTAACCTTTTCCTTTATAACTTCTGGATTCTGCCTCTTGCTTAGGAGAGCCTTTCCTACCTTAAGGTTATAAAAATGATTTGTTATTTTATAGTTTTGTTTTTTACATATAAACCTTTAGCCATCTGAAATTTATGTTTGCATATGGTGTGAAGAGACATCCTGTAATGAAAATTTAAAAATAATACTTAAAAGGGGCAGCTTTTAATAATCTGGAATACTCATATATGTATTTCATTTTCTGATACCATGAAAAGAATAAAATATTACTTATATTAAGAAATATGACCATTTTGTCCCTTTTAATACCATTTGAAAAGTGAGCCTAAGGATATAATCTGCATTATTAATGTACATCAACCACGTTTAATAGGAAACCCTAGCACCTGGAATGTGAAAAGAGAACAGGGTGCAGAGTCCTGCTCACAATGGCCAACAATACCGGTCGTTTACTTTGATGGTCTTAAACCAGTGGTTTTCTGGGTTTAAAAAAACCCAACTCTTCCTCAAAGGAATAGTAACGTAGAATTCCAATATGTAAAACATATAACTACCTATGCAGCCATTCAGCCTCCCCTCCCTGCTCTGGGACAAGCCCCTGAGAGACTTGTTAAAAGCAAAAATTCAATCTTTAATTCTTTAGATAGGGATAAAAGATTCACACATTCCTGTAACACTGACTTCTAAGAAACTGAGCTAGGACTGATAGCATTCACAAAGGACCACATGGTAGCTGAGTTATGGGAGTCAGCACTTCCCACCTGAAAACTGTACTGACTCATTGGGACAGATTTATACAGCGCTATCGTGATTTTTCTAGGCATTATAAAACACGGAATTTATATTACAATATCTACTACAGCTAAACTTTCTAAGACTGTTCAGGTACTTAGTTCCAGTTCATGAGGCTTATGAAAGATTATTAAATTGAGGGCTTTAGCCTTCCAACTTGAAAAGATAAAAAACAATGGAAAGTTTCCAAGAATCAGAGAACGGCAGACAGTACCAATAGTTGCCTTCTCTTTTTGTCCCAGGTAAAAATGCCCCTCAAAAAAACCTAACATTAAAGGGATGCTTGCAACCTGTTTAATTTTACCATCAAGAAGAATAAAAGTAGCAGTGCACAAAGTATAGTCTGTAGAAAAACTATTTTTATACTAGCACTAAGATATTATTTGCCCTTTTTACTTTCATTATTTTACAAGTGTAAGTGGAGTTTTCAGAGGCTATATAATGTAAGATATTGCAACATAATGAATGCAAAGCAGAGAATCCAGCTATCTTCTTTTTGCAGAGATTTGCGAAAAGTCTAAAACAATGCCACTTTTTTCGAAATTTTTTTGTTTGGGAAAATATAATTATTTTTCATAAAACATTATTTAACATGTAATGGTTTTATTATGTTTAAATAAATTTATAAATAAATATTTTAAAAAGTATTAATTTCTAAAATGGGAATTACTACTTACACAAACAGAAGGTCTTTGGGGTTCTTCAATAATTTTTAAGTGTAGAAAACAGTTCTGAGACCAAAAAGTTTGAGAACTGCTAGACAAAAGCAAAATCTTTCTGAATATTTTGTATTGGGATCCTAAGTTTTTAGGTGTACCACTGGTTCAACCTTTATAAAATCACCTTTATGTGTTTACTTATCTGGAGTCTGCACATAATCACATGGAATCCAAATCCGTAAAATACAAACTGTGCTCTAAAAAGTGCTTAAAAATCTGCATCAGAATATTAGTCTGTCCTTCTAGGTAACATAAAGCTTTTTCTTACTTGGGGAAAGAGTGGTCTCTCATCTCTTTTCTTTTTTAGGCACTCTGCCATTAATCTCTTCATGGCTTTTGGACAGTTACTCCGTACCTTACTGAGATCTGGAGATAGATATCCTCGTCCCACCATAAAAATTATCTGGGGAGGAAAAAAAAGGCAAATCATATAACCTTGTAGATAAGTTGAAAAATATATAAACATTGAAAATTCAACAAGCTGTGCACTTATGACATGTACTTTCCTGTATGTACATTACACTTCAATAGAAGGTTAAAAAACACAATGCTACTAGTATTCTGATTCCTATATACCATAGACTGTGGGGAATCAATACTTAATGTGCTGCAAGGCGAAATCTTCATGACCCCTGGACTACTGCAAAGGTCTCCTAACTGCTCCGCATGCTTCCAGTCTCTCCTTATCCAATCCATTTTCCCACTGATAGTAATCATTCTGAAACACAGATCGGGCCTCTTCTACTCAACCAAAATAGTTAACCTTTTTAACAGTTGTTTTGGCATCTGAATTTTAAATTCTTTTGTTGAGGAAACTCTAATGGGGCATTTAGTTATATAAGTCTGAGAACCAGACCCTCCTCCAGAGGGAAGGTAAAGCTACTGGGAACTAAAATTTAATGTTTAATAAAGTAAAAAGCCTTGTCTTCCCTGGGTACAGAGATTTATAATTTTCTGATTTCTTACATTTCTAATTTTCTGACTTGTGGTTCTTTTGAAAGTGGGCAGAGACAGATGTTAACAGTCTTAGGTGTCACGGAAGAGAGAGGGGTTTTGATCTTACAGGGAATAGGTTCAATAGGGACAGACTAGAGGCTAAGGTGGAGAGAGCCAGTCAGAGATCCCAGGTTACAAGGTAGAACTGATAAATTTTAGGAACAGTCAAGTCTGATATGCTATTTTATGTTATTTCTTGTTTGGTGCTGTGATAACCCTTACTTAACTATAAGATGATTTGCCCAAGCACCACTAAAGTGAAGATGTAAAGTTTAACCTCCTTTCCATCTCCTCTGTCACAACTGCCCTTCTCCCACTTCACAAAAGGCACACCTTTTACCTACATGGAATTTAACTACCGTGCACACTGCGTCAGTGTGTAAGTAACACTGCTGAGGGTACCAAAGGGATGCTTCCAAATATTGGTCTAACTGGACGCTAATGAATGGGTAGCAAATCCCTTTGCAAGACAGTTGGTTTCCAATTCTTTGCTTTCAGCAAAATTAACTGAATTGTCAGCTGATTGTTAAAATAATTTTAAATGACAAGTTATTATATAATTTTTGGTATGCTATAGAAATGAGTTCAAATAAGCAGTGATATGGTTACGGTAAAGAACTAATCTTGCCCAAAGAGAGGGCTGGCCTTTGCCTTTGGCTCCTGGGAGGTAATCCCTAAGCCCTTGGAATGTCCTGCCTGTTAAGAGTGCCTTTGTTTATCTGGGAGTCTAAGGTCATGTCAGATAGTCTATGCTATCAATGTGATTCTACAGAGGGGGCTTTAAGTTATATGGTATCAGCTTGACCTCTGTAGAGGCTAAAAACTAAGGTCAACAACAGAGGTGGTCAATTGTTATCTACGTGACTGAGGCCCAACAATAACTCAAGGCTCCAGTGAATTACCCTGGTTGGCAACACTTCCTGCACATTGTCACGCATGACTGCCAGGAGAACTGAGTGCTGGCCACAATTCCACGGGAAGAGGACAACTGGAAGTTCCCTATGTGAAACTCTCCTGAATTCTGCCCTATGTGCCTCTTCCCTTGGCTGATTTTAATCTGTATCCTTTTGCTTTAATAAACCATAACGTGAGTATTAACAACTTTCAGTGAGTTCTATAAGACTTAATGAATTACTGAACCTGAAGGTGGTCTGCTGAACTCTGCATGTGGTTATAACAAAACTCCTGACTTTCCCATATTCTTATTTATTTGAACAATATTCCTCAGCACTTACTTCTTTAAAAATAAAACTAGAAGGACTGACGCTAAGTCCCAGCTTATTCTAGCAAAGGTCATATTTTTCACAAATAAACGACTGAAGAGAAAACAAAAGCCCCATGTTGCTCATTAAGAAACACACTTCCAATAAAATTTTACCTGTTTCTTTATATCAAAACTCATGTTATTTTCATCAGTTATATATTTAATAATTATTAATAGCATAATTTGGAATTAAAAAAGTTAACAGCCCAAAGTCACTGGGAAAAACTTTTTTAGTTCTAAATTTAAGCACATTTTTTTGTTGCAGAGATATAATTTGAATGAGCAATAAAAGGGTTTAGAGCACACAAATATGTTACATTAGGGAAAAAATTCTGTGGAGGAAGTAGGATACAAATAATTTACAGACAAAAAAAGAGCCATGTAAAATTCCAAAAACTAATGAAGAGGTTTTTTATTTTTATTTATTTATTTTGCGGTACGCGGGCCTCCCACTGCCGCGGCCTCTTCCGCCGCGGAGCACAGGCTCCGGACGCGCAGGCTCAGCGGCCATGGCTCACGGGCCCAGCCGCTCCGCGGCACGCATGATCCTCCCAGACCGGGGCACGAACCTGCGTCCCCTGCATCGGCAGGTGGACTCCCGACCACTGCGCCACCAGGGAAGCCCGAGGTTTTTTATTTTTTAAACAAGTGATGATGGTAAGAATCAAATCAGTATGACGTTTAGATTTTATTTGGTACATTTAAAAGAATGATATAATGCTTTTTTTTTTGAAATGTCAATATAATACACTGGAAATTACATTCTTTGCAACTATTTAAGCTTAAAGGAAAGGTCTTTCCTGGATGTAATTCATGGATAGAAAATTCAAGTAGCACTTAACTACAAAATCAATAGCTCAGTTTGAAATTCTGGGACTGGTTATTTTCATTCTCCATCTACAGCCGCACTCCTGGTATCCCTACCCCTTCATTCACTCCTCTGTGTTACTGGAGCACAGGTCTGCTCATCCTCAACATCACCCCCTGCACTGCCTCAACAGAACTGAGAGCACAGCCTGTGTTTTATTCACCTTTGCATCCTTCTATATCTCACAGCTTTTGCATACAGTAGATATCAAAATTTTTTATTAAAATAATTTGCATGTTGATAAGACACTGGTACTTATTATCATTTTCTGTCTCCTTGAGATCTTGTGCTTAGAACCCAGCCACCATACTGTGAGAAAGTCCAAGGTTCCTGTGAAAAAGTCGTCACAGAAAGACCCATGTCGAGAAGAATTGAGGCCCCTGGCCCTCGGCCAAGACTAAGCTTCCAGCTGACGGCTAACTGGTCACATACCTTCTCAGGTATGTTTTCAAGCCATTTTGGAAGTAGATCCTTTAACACCCAGTGAATCTACCACAGCCAATAATACCATATGAAAGAGATAAGCCTTCCACACTGAGAGAAGCTCAAATTGCAGATTTACAATTTGTCTAAGCCACTACGTTTTAGGTGGTTTGCTATAGCAATGATAACTGGAATTCATGTGAAATAATAAATGTTATGCTATTTTCTTCTAGGATGACACAGCACGTCTGCTCCAATAAAAAAAAAAGCCAATATACCTAGCTTAACTGAGCACATGATTAATCCCAATTTAGTAAAGAAGCTGCACTGAAAGAGAGCAAAACAGAATGATAAAGAGGGGGAAAAAATGACAAAGCAATTTCTCAGACTTTCGGCACTAGGGTAAGTGAAGTAAAAAGGCATGCTACTCTGCAAAGTAACATAGAGGTGGTCATCCCTCAAGGAGCTAAGAAACCTGTTTTAGGAAAGAACTCAATCTTTGTAACTGTTAAGGAATTCTTTAGTTCATTCTCTTATTTTTAATAATTGAAAAAGAAAAGATACCTAGAGAGGTACAGTGGCCAGGTCATGCAGGTCATGAGTCCAAGGTCTGCCATTACATCACACTGCTTTACCAGAGTCCTGCCTTGAATTTACAGGCAAAACCTGCCACCTCAGACTATGGGGGGGTGAGAGTATAGGGGCATGGGTCATTACCATATTATATGGTAATGAAGCAGCTGTCCCATCTCCCATGGAAAAAAAAGAATATTCCTAGATTTTCAAATAGAAGTCCAATCTGAGAGCCATGGAGATCAAAGTATGAGAGAAAGAAAAATCAAATCAAGGAGATGGATGGAACAGTACCTGGGGGTTACTTCACTGAGGATGACTAGAGTTACTGATTCAAAAGAGGGAGTTCCATGGAAAGCGCCACTTGAAGAAAGCAGACTAGAAGGTAATGAAGTAGAATGGGGATGATGGGAAGAGTATATAATTCTTTCATATCCTTTTTCTTCATCAAATACTTGGTTTCAGACTGGCATATTCCAGAAGGCTCTAACTATACTCCCAGAAAGAATTAACTAGTAAAGGCCTTACCCTTCTGTTGGTCACTCACTTACTTCTCTCATGGAGAGTAAGCCCTTGCCACATCATTTATTATACTCCCATGGAGGACAAAGCACCTAAAATGCCAAGAAGTGGATGAGTGCAGAACTCTGGGACGCTTTTTCCATATTTTGGAGACACTACTACTTATTTCCATAATATAACTTTATTATTTCATTAAAATAAACTTATTTACTGACAAATGTATTTCATCCAGATCTTAGGTTCATAAATTTTTATTATTTGTAGTCTCTATGATAAATCAATTAAAACTAAACTAAAATTCCCTCGTAATTCCTCTAGAAGAACAGAATGCATAGGAAAATTAAACACGGCATGGGGTATTATGCTGTATGGTTGAGTTAATAAGACTGTAAAAGGCAGAGCACGTGAAGCTGCTAAATTAGAGACAATCTTGCTCTTCAGACTGCTATCGTCAAATCAATCATCTCAGTGATCTAGGATCTGTCACAAGTACACTAAGTGCAATGTTTCAATGTTTTTATGTTCTTTAGCTACTATCTTGGTCCGTCCTGAATCGAAGTTTCATGGAGGCTTAAAAGATCAGATCATCAGAAGCCAGGTCATAGATTCCTTTTTAACACTTAAAGCTATAATCCAACACTCTAAAGCTATGAAAGTAGTTAGAAAGACCAAACAGCAATTTAAAAAATTAGTTTTATGCTGACTTATGTAGAAAGGCAGTCATTTTTAAAATTCTCAAAATAGAGAATCCAGACCACTGTTGGGTAAGGGCCATATGGTGATTCAATAAGCATATGCAAAGTATATGACAACTTAGATTACTTCTCTGATACCACATGATAGTTATAAGTTCTTAGTGAGAAAGCTACTCAGTATCTTCAGAAAGCTTCAGTATCACCAAAAAGACTGAGAGTTGAACTGTTGACCAAAACACTACTAAATGAAGTAATATATTTATACATTAAAAATTATCATTTCATTAGGTTGGGAGGTTATGATCAAACACATAAAACACTCATGCTTTTGAAGATTCTTTACACTGGTGATTCTCAACTTTTGTATGTATCAGAAACAACTAGAAAACTTATTAAAAATGCAGATGCTTGGACCCACCCCACTGAATCAGAATCTACTCCAGCATCTCCATTTTTTAAACAAATTATCCAGGTGATTCACATGTACATCACAGTATAATGTATAAATATTATTTAATCACAGTTTATATGGTCAACTATTGTTTTCTATTATATTAACTGTAATTGCGGCAATCTCTCTACACACACACACACACACACACACATGCACTTTTAAAATGTTGAGGTATATGAGGTAATTTCAGTAAAGACAATTCATTTTTCTTGGCCAGTATTAAAAGACTAGGTGAATTTAATATGGCTGGGATCGAAAAGGCAAAGAGCTGCACGAGGCTATACTTTGGAAGGTAAGGAACAGAGAACAGAAACTTTTAGGAAGAGAGAAGTAAAAAATTCCCTCCTACTTGAATTCTCACCACAGAAAAATGAAAGCATGATGTAACAGTCCTTTCATTTACCTAGTTTTAAAAATTTAAGAAGTATGGAGAAATCTTAATAATTTTATAAGGATTTGATATAAAGAAGTTCAGAGCTGAGGGCCTGGCTCAGAGAGCACAATCTGTGATAGAGTAAAAGGGATAAGTCCAGATGCTGTAGCAGCAGAGCTCATTCTTCTAACTGTGCCATGGTCAAGAGGCATGAGGTATAATCATTATTGCATCTCTAGTTTCTAGTCAGAAGATCAGGAGTTTCACTCCACTACAAGATTTAAGCATGGTATTTCCAGGAAAGGCCTTACATGCTACTATTACTGCCAACAGTATACAAAAGGTTCTAAAACTGGTGACAAAGATCAAGAGATCTATCTTCCATGCTTACCCAGGATCCAATACCTCTTTTCTACAATGAACTGGAGCCTTTCTACAAACAGTAAAATGAACCTCAAGAGATGGTAAATATTTACCTGGTCCCTGTTGTTGATGTTTGAATAAGGTAACTGTCCGGTCATCAATTCATACAGAACAATCCCAAATGCATATACATCTGACTGAAAGCTATATGGGTTTTTATCTTGCATTCTGATTACTTCTGGTGCCTGGTAGAACATAAAAAGAAAAATATTCTTGTTTATTCTTCACATCAACTGAATAAAGACTGAAAACCAAACTATTATAATTCCCAGAACAATGTTTCTATCATTAAATAACCCACGTAATACGTAATCAATTCTCTTACTTATGGCCAAAGAAATAAAACTGATTATGAAAGATAAATTTTAAAAAATGCTCTGTAAACTCTGAGAGAGGCAGTACTAGCTGAGATTCTATATACATTACTAAGATTTTATAATTTTATCAGCTGCCCTCTTTCTGTACAAAATACCATCACTGCCATTTGAATTTTTCCCATGACTTACCCTATCAAGAGTGAGTTCCTACCTTCCATTCCTGATTCAGGAAAGAAATACTAGACCTGTTGTTATGAGATGTGTTTGGAAGTAGCACAACCACTATGGTAATCACCTTAGAATTTAAGTTTCCCATTGGTACAAATGATTCTCCTTATCTCAGGGCACCTTAGACAATAAAGGTAAAATTTCAAGACTGATAAACTCAAACTCCTTTCTTGCCTCCAAAAACGGTATAAATATGCTATGGATGCTTTATTAACAAAAGCAATAGACAGTAGGTAGATTTAGTAGAAGATGGTATAAAGAATCTTTTGGCTGCTGCTTCTTGGGCAAAGATACAGATCTAATCATATTTGTTACATTTTTACACATTTCAGTCACTGTATTCTACAGATAGATTTCTTATTAGCTGTTTACATGAAATACAATAAACAGTTGATTAAATCTTAGCTTAAAGGAGTTCTTTCACCTTGCATCTTCTGTATTGTTTCATTTGGAAGAAATTAGAGCAACTGCAGGGTATTAAAAAAACTTTGTGAAAACATTAACTTGATACCAAAACCAGGACTAACTGCAAAAATGAAAGACCTGGGACAGGATTCTTGGTTATTGGTCAGGGTAAGGCAGGTCAGGCTATCTCTCAAGGCAGGCAGTAGAGCATCCAGCCTCACCTGCAAAACAGACTCACCTGTGCAGCCTTTAACCTCTCAACATCCAGACTACATTCTAGCCCAATAATATACCATCAGAGTCTGGGGATGGGAACAGCTTCAATTGTGAGTTTTTATAGTTCCCCAGATGACTTTAATGTCCAACCAAGGTTGAGAACCACTGATGAAAGATGCGTGGGAGATCCAGATGAGAGTAAAGGATTGCGGGGAGGGGGGGGCATGCAGTGAAGAAGGTTTTATCTATTTGCTTTTGTCATATATTTTATTGATAACTGCTCTTGGTAGTACAGCGCAAAATAAACCACATACAACTGTGATGTAATGAACAAGCCAGAATATAAGAGGCTGGTTATGATACAGACATAATTTTCAAAGCCAGAACACAATTTCTGTGAGGGACAGTGTAAGAACTACCCTTTTAAAATTTAGTTTTATCTCACTGTTGTTGGTAGATCATTTGATGAAATGTCGTATGGGATCTATTTATAAGAAACGCATGATTTATCTTCAATTAATTTAGTAATTTGTAAAAATTTTCACAGAAGTTTCTTTCTTCTTTAAGATATAAATAAAGCAAGGTTGAGAATACTATTGTAAATAATTCAGCGAATTACATAACCTTTGGTTCTGAACAAACTCTTCTCTCCTAGTCTATGGAAATACCATATTTGTTTCTGAAGGCAATATCAACCCAAAAGGATTTTACTCAACAATTAAGTGTACTACTGACTAATCTCTTGTCTTAAAACGCAGCTTGATGGAATAAAGGATGAACCCATCTACCCAGGTATCAACAAAAAAGAAATTAAAAGAAAATATAAACCTTCATGTGTAATAGTAGTCTATAAACTGTATAAACTAAGGTTTTTGGAAAAGGACAAATCTGGAGACTTGACTGAGCCTAACTCTCCCCGCAGTAGTTAAAATAAACACACCTTTAAAACATGTAACAATTGTTTCTTTATAATTGTAGGTTTTGCAATTTCTCTCCCCCTTAGGATACACTGTTATCTTTGTTGCAAGGTATATGCCTTAAAGGTATCTGAGATCCAGATTACAATTATTAATTAGCTTCCTGTTTATAATTATTTATTAAAACAAACATATTGAAGAAAAAAATATAGCTAACTCTAATTACTAAACCTGAGAAAATGCATTCAAAATCCACTAGTTCAACCCGATGTTAAAGATGGAGAGACTTGGAGGAGGTCAAGGAACGTGCAAGTTAAGAGTCAAACAGAGCACGAGAGTACAGACCTTCTGACTCCTAGTCCAATGCCGCCCCCTTCCCACCTTGCCACTCTAATGCCAGTTATTATTACAAGAAATCACGGCCAAATTTAACCCTAGGCGTATCTTGACTAATTCAGAATCCTACCTTGGAATTCTCTTTATGGAACTGCTACAGATAAGTTCAGGGAATTTAGGCCAATGTGGCTTTGAAAGCCCTTGCAGCTTTTCTATTTCCAGCAGGGTGTCCCAAAGTCTTACTGCAGATTCAGTTATTTAAAGCTTAAAACTGCACTAAGAGTTTTGGGACACCCTGTATTCAGCTTGGAGCAGATGTTCTCAAACTTTTTGGTCTCAGGACTCTTTTTCAGTCTTAAAAATTATGGACAACCCCAAGAAGCTTCTGTTTATGTGGATTATACCTGTGGATATTCATCATATTAAAACTTAACTGAGAAACTGTTAAAATATTTATTAATTTAAATAACAAAACAGTCATTAGATGTTAACATAGATCACCCATTTTTTTTAATGAAAAGTAACTGTATTTTCAAAAACAAAGTTTAGTGAGAAGAATAGTACTGCAATTCTTTTTTTTTTTCTTTCTTTTTTTTTGCCATGCTGCGCGGCATGTGGGATCTTCATTCTCCGACCAGGGACTGATCCCGTATCCCCTGCAGTGGAAGCGTGGAGTCTTAACCACTGGACCACCAGGGAAGTCCCTGCAATTCTTTTTGACTGGTTTAACAGCAGCCAGCTAGAGTCACATATTTGCTTATGCATTCAATCTGCTCTGATGTGTTGAAGAATATGAAGAAAAATCTAGTTTCACACAGGATGACCTTGGGGACCTCTGACAGGGTCTTAAGGACCCTTCTGAGAACAGCTGGCTTAAGAAAATGATCCTATGCTGCCCTTTTCACAGCCTGCTGAAAGTAACTGCACAGAAGTTTTAGTTCCCTTCTCTTATAACTTATCTTTCTTATTTTCCGCAAAGCAGAAATAGGAATAAAGAAAGAAAGAAAGAGCTATGCAGGGCCCACAAAACTGACAGTGTTAAAAATCTACCTTTCATTTTTCTTTTTGTCTTTCCTTTCCTGGCTGCCCATAATTATACAGTTCTTTCTAGTCTAAAGAAAGTAACTTTCCAATTTAGGCTTAAATAAGATTGTGAAACAGTCTCTCTCTTAAAAGGAGTAATTCTTTTATTGAAACCTTAATAATGGCTGCAGATCACACCTGCTTAAATTGCATACTTTTTTTTTTTTGAAACCGGATACACAGAACATTCTGAACACAAAATATTTTAAAGAGACAATCTGAATAAAATTTAAACAGTGTTTATAAAATACACTTTTTGTTTGAAATATACTGAAACTGGTTTCATAATATTCTTTTTAAAGATAAAAAGTTAAAATCTATTTATATATAAAGTAAGATCAACATTGGTTTTTGTGAATACTGAGAACTATGAAAATACTATATAGTTGAAATCTTCAGTGACTTTCTAATAACTCAACAGCATCTCAGGGTCCAAAAATTTAATTAATGGAGAAATAGCCTCAATTCTTACCATCCACAAAATGGATCCAGACAACTGTTCAAATTGATGGGACCCACTCCATCGAGATTTCACTGTGGCTAGACCAAAATCACCTATTTTTACTGTGAGGTCTTCATGAAGAAAAATATCTGAGGTGTAGTAAGTAAAGGAAAATAACAGATCTCATTTTCCTATCAAAGCAACCATTATGAAAAATTTAGGTAAGAGATCTAATTTCTATAATTCTATATATTATGATATTCTTTAAAGAAGTATAGTACTTCATATTTCCTTTTAAAGTTAATAAATATGTTTTAAAAATAGTGTTATTTGGACTCTGTGACCTGCTTTTAAGATATTTGGTGCTTGAAATGTGGTAGGATGAGGTGAGATGTTTTCCTAAGTTTATGGGAGACATTGAAACTTTCCCATTAGATTTTAGTAATGTAGGCCCAAATATCTTTCTGGCACTGCTGGGAAAGCTGTAAAGGCTCTTCACTGGAATGAAGGAAGGCAACTGGCAGACAGGATCTTAATTTGGGCTTATGGAAGAAGAAACGTTACGTTTTTCTCACCTCATTGTTATATAATGTAGAGCCTTCAGTTACATCTCAACTACCACTGAGCAAGGTCAGAGCACTGAAAGAAACTAGTAGATAGCTACAAAACTATGCATCTTGTAGTGCTTATAGAACATAAACAAGCAAGCAAAGAGTCCTACTATCATAATGACTTGATAGGTTTTTTTGTAATGGTCAATTGTTCAAAAACCAAAAGCAGGTTGTAGTACCTTGTACTACTATACTCTTGTGTAAACCCATTTATTAATTCCCTTTACAGTGTATTATTGAACTTAGCATGAAAACTGTTTTTACATAATGTGAAGATAAAATGCAGGAGAAAAGGTCAGGATGTTTTCAAACTTCGCAGACAAATTCAAGAAGGATACTATTACTCTTGAGGTCTCTGTGGATGATTGACTTGGCGTGTAAGTAACTGAAAAACAAAACATCATTTTAACCTGAGTAGAGCTAAAGACTCTGGCCTCAGTATCTACAGAACACATTTAGGGGTATAAATAAAGATTTATTTAGAATCATGATACAACTGCAAACTGTACATAACCCCTTTAAATAAGAAATAGTAAAATAGACTGCAAGTGAACTAAGGATTTTAGGACCATATTACTATTATGGTACAACCAAAATCTTTTCTATTGAAAGACTTTGCTTTATCTTTTACTATTTACCAATACAAACCTTCCACTCCAGTCAAGCCTATTTATCCAGGTCCTTTAAGTATACCTTGGTATTTAATCCCACCTCTGTGACCAATGCTCCCCTCTCACACCAAATTAGCTTTCATTCTATTCTCTACTGAATCATACTTATTCTTTAAGATTCAATATACATTATGACTCCTAAGTGAAGCTTTCCCAAGAGTCAACCACAAGTGATCTTTCTTTCCCCTGTTCAGTTATGTAGTAATTATTTTAACAGTTTGATTCATGTATTTTTTTCACCTGACTATGTTCATTTTCTATTTGGAATGTAAACTCCATTTGATAAAACTATTTTTAAAAGTAGAATTATATATTCTAAAAAGACCTTCTTAAAACTAGTGATGTGCTTATTTTCTAATGTAATGGACACAGTGAATCTATTTCAAAGTCAATGGTAAGTTTAAATCATCTGATACCCCTAAAAACTGTCTTAGTTGTTTTTTTTTTTTTTTGTTTGTGGTTTTTTTGCGGTATGCGGGCCTCTCACTGTTGTGGCCTCTCCCATTGCGGAGCACAGGCTCCGAACGCGCAGGCTCAGAGGCCATGGCTCATGTGGGATCCTCCCTGACTGGGGCACGAACCCGTGTCCCCTGCATCGGCAGGCGGACTCTCAACCACTGCGCCACCAGGGAAGCCCAAAACTGTCTTAGTTGAATTGATTGAGGGAAAGAGCTGTGTCTAGTTTATTTCTGTTTATCCCCAGTGCCTAGTACAGTGCCTGGCACGTGGCAGGTATTCAATACATATCTGTTGAATCAACTACAATAAGATGCATATAATGTCCTAATCAAGGTTATTTTTCTTCATTTAATACTGGAAAGAACAGACATATGAGACTTCTGAAATCTAACAATGACTGTTAGGAAATAAATTTTGCCTTAAAGTAAAACCTTAAAATTCAAATGATATAATCAAAATTATGTAATGAACACTGTTAAAAATGAAAGATTTGCAAATAATTAAGTTTATTATTTATGCTTTCTCAATTAAATTTTAAACCTTCAATTAAATTTTCTCATCCAGAGATCAAGATCTCGAAATTTTTTCTCAGACCAAATTTTCATTTAAAATTACTTGTTTATACAAGTAACTCCTTCTCCTCCAATTACTCTTACTGAATACTGTTTACTTCCTTCACAGCATTTATCACAATCTGAACTTATCTTGCTGTTATGATTTTTTAGGCCTAGCGTTTGATATACTACATCACACTGTCACTCTTCCATTGAAAAAAAACATGATGTCATAGGTCTCATTTGCTTAAAAAGTTCTGCAGTGGCAAACAAAGGTAAAAAACAGATGGAGAAAAATGAGTCTCAATCAAAAGCTGTTCCAAGATGGGGAGACCTTATCCTCATTAGAAAGAAAAGGGGACAGGTGATGGTGCTGGCGGTGGAGCTCAGTGCTTCAGTCTGGTATTTAGTGCACAGATAAGGTGTTGGTCTTTGAAAAGACATTCTGTCTCCTTTGAAATTAAAAACAACAATAACAACAACAAATGGATGGTATGCATGAGAATACGGAGGCATGATGAAGTTATAAGATGGGAAGATAAAGGTATTTCTTGATGGATAGTGTCAATCCTCTCAACAAATCTGATACAAAGAAATACAGCAAGAATAAGGTAGACAGAAATGTAACTAGAGGGCTGAAGACAGAAAATTTCTGGCCAAGAAAGTACTAGGTAATTAACAAGATATAAATATGATGGCTGAGCTAGTGATATAACCATAAACAGCATAAATCTATTATAGGCCAAAGTTGCATATAGCTGCAACTTGAAATAATACTACTTTATTCTTGTGTAATCCTCTATTGTTTAGAAATTGCTTTACTAACTTATATCTCATTTAATAAACTCTTTCTGTAACACTTCTATAACAAAAGCAGCAAAAGAACAGAAATCCAGGTCTATATATTGGAAGGTTGGAAAGAAAAGAGACTTAAATTCCCCAGCTGGAAAAATGGGATAGGTATCATACCTCAATCCCTACATAATATTCCAGAGTAATTACTACCCTAAGTAATTATATTATAGGCTGACACTAAACCATTATTTCCTAAGCACCAACCAGTTACAGTGGAAGACGCCAAAAACCACATAACTGGTTGAGGGTAAGGAAGGGAATAAGAATAAACTGACTTTGCTACAGATGATGCAAAAGTCTATCCATTACATAGGACAATTAAATTGGACCGCCTTCTTACCTTTCAAAGATGTTAAGTAGAACCTTATAAGTTTATAAAAGTAGCAGGAAAGAAAAAACATGCTATAAACTAAATGAATATCATTCTCTTGATAGGTTTCTGTTAGGAGTCTCCTTCCTTGTAAAAGAAAAAGTGTCCATTTACAGACTCAATTTAATCTTAAAGCTGGCAAATCATCCAGTAAAATTTGTTCTCTACACTGCTTCTTCCAAGGTCTTATCCAAGATTCAGCTTTTCAACATTCTTTTTAGACCACAATATGATGCCCCGAAAGGAAATACAATGCTCTAGATTTGATCTGATCAACACAAACTAGAGTGAGATTCTCATCTTCATCCTCCCCTTAAATGTAAGACCTGAAACCATAAAACTCCTAGAAGAAAACATAGGCAGTAAGCTCCTTGACATTGGACTTGATGACAAGTTGTTTGTGTCTGACACCAAAAGTAAAGGCAACAAAAGCAAAAACAAACAAGTGGGACTACACCAAACAAAAAAGCTTCTGCACAGCACAGGAAACCACCAACAAGATGAAAAGGCAACCTACCAAATGGGAGAAAGTATTTGCAAATCATATATCCGATAAGGGGATACCCAAAAAATATAAAGAACTCATACAACTCAGTAGCAAAAACCCCAATCTAGTTTTAAAAATAGACATTTTCCCAAAGGAGACATACAAATGGCCAACAGGTACATACATGAAAAGGTGTTCAACATCACTAATCACCAGGGAAATGCAAATCAAAACCACAATGAGATATCACCTCATATCTGTTAGAATGGCTATTATCAAAAAGACAAGAAATACCAAGTGCTGGCGAGGAGTAAAGGGAATACTTATGCACTGTTGGTGGGAATATAAATTGGTGCAGCTGCTATGGAAAACAGACTGCAGGGTCCTCAAAAAATTAGAAACAGAATTACCATATGATGTAGCAATCCCACTTTTGGGTATATATATATCCAAAAAAATTTAAATCAGGATCTCAAAGAGTTATTTGCACTCTCATGTTCACTGCAGCATTATTCACAACCACCAAGACGTGGAAACAACCTAAGCGTCCATGAATGGATAAAGAAAATGTAACACACACATACATACACACAGGAATAAGCCATAAAAAAAGAAGGAAATCCTGCCATTTATGACAACATGGATGGATCTTGAGGGCATTATGCTAAGTGAGATAAGTCAGAGAAAGACAAATACTGTATGATCTCACTTATATTTGGAAAAACAGAACAAAAACAAAACCCAAATTAATCTTCATCTTCCTTACAGCGGGAAAAAATGTTTATTGCACCAGCCATTACTATTATGGCAGCCACAGTCACTCAACTGACTCCTATTAAAATTATATTCAATTACAACCCTAGAGAGTTGTTGTTCTTGCGTTGCTCCTACAAAACCATTTCCCTCATCCAACATTTGTATACTTCTCTTTTTTGGACTTGGATAAGACTTCATATTTTGTAGACATGACCTATAATTTCAGCTTATTAAAATGTTACTTTTCACTAAAAAATAAGTTATAAAAGATCAGCATGCTAACGATGCCCTCATCTAAGTTATCTGTAAATACGCAGTCAGATTCAAGAGAAGAAGGAGGACAAAAATCTCCTAGCTTAAGACCTTCAGGTATGACAATAATACAGTTATGAACCTAGTTAAATTCTTCATATTTGTTACATATCTCCATCTTATCCTCAAGAATATCATGAGAAATATTATTCAAATACCTTGCTGAAATTCAAATACTATGCCTACACCATCTGTAGGTGCAGGCATTTACCAGTCTAGTCTATTTATAAAAGCCTCAAGTATCTCTCACTCAAGTTTGCTGCTATTTTTTTGTATTTTCTACTATTTCTAAAACCAAACGACTGGCCTACACAGACATTAGCACTTCAGTCCTCTTTCATCTAATGCTACACAATTTCAAAAAAGTTCATCAGTCTTCACACAGCAAGCTAAATCTCTCCTCTGACACCAATAGAGAATTCAGCAGTTGACTGGACTGGTATGCGTGATGGTGGTGACAAGGTGTTATTTTATCCAAATACAGTTTCAAATTCTGGTCTCCCTTCTACTTTGTTGCCCTCCAAGCCCTCATAATCACAATGTGGAAAGTGAGCAAGACCGAAGGGAATGCCCTTCTGCTACTCCTGTGTAATCAGTAATCATTTACCACTTTAAAGTAATTAAAATCCTTAATACATGGAGTTCACACATTTTTCAGTTGTGCTCTATAGTGGCCTAAATTCTATTTTTACTTAGATTTTTCAGTTTCTGTCGCGTTAAAAAAATCAAATTTATTGAGAGGTATAACTAGTATACAACACAAAATGCACCCAATTTTTATGCAGTTTAAAGGGTTTTTCACAAACACATATATATACACTTGTCTAAAGACCAACCACAATCAAGATGGATATCCATCACCCCTAGAAGTTTCTTCACACATTTCTGCAATTAATAACACCCACACTAGGCTCAGGCAAC